TATTATAATTATAGGAACTGTAGTTAGTAAACCTCTTTTATTTCCAATATTTATATCATTTCTCTAATTACAAATTATTTTTCTTTCCAAGGGATCATACGCAAATTTGCCTGCCTGCCAATCTTTCGGATTTTGGGACGGCTCACATATGGCGCCTTCATAGTGCATCTCTTGATGGCGCGACTGGCCCTGGCCACGGTGCGTGAGCCCATTTACTTTGGCACCGGGACTATGGTAACTATTATTGTATTTTATTTATTTTTATTTTGTACCAACATTTTTTATATATTCCTTTCAGTTCGCATATATATTTTACGTGCTATGCGCCTCTTATTTGGGTTCCCTTGTTTTGGCTATATTTTTGGAGTTACCCGTCTCGTCATGTCTTAAACTTATGCGCTAGTCAAGGATGAAAATTAAATTTCTGATGGCACTTGCTTAAAGCCTAAAGTGAACTTAATCAAGCTCAGCTAACAAGTTTTTAAAAAATTGTGTAATTTACAGCTTGGTAAATTATTAATTCAAGGACGCTTCATTTAATTAAATTTATTGTATATATGTATAATCTGGGAGCTTTCAGCAAGTGTCAGCATTACTTACACTATACTTTTATTTATGCTAAAGATTTTACTTATAAAGAAACCTAGTCTTAATAAATTAACCTTAATAAAGTCGATTATCGTAAATCAAAAATCAATTTGAGTGGATGTAGGTATTGTAACGTATCCTCACAGAAAGTCGATAAATTCACGGGTGTATTAAAAAACATATATATTATATGCAAAATTTATATATGCATATCTATGTATTAATCTATATATTGAATGAGCGTTCAATACACTAAAATACGATCAATTGTTTAGGATATACATATATAGGGTTATTTCATTTGGCTATCGGGGTTAAAGAATTGATGCTGGGCAGCAAAAATGCCGCCTATTGTTATCCAGCTATTACTTATGTAAGTGTTTCTCTATTTGATACTTCATAATGAAGAAGTTTTTGAATTAGAGAGCAACAAAACTTATCCCGCTATTAAATCGATAATTATAGAATCTAAATGATATTATAAAGAGCATTCAAATTAGTACACCTACTTCTTCAGGCTTTTTTTATACCCTGATCCCATTGAAAATGGGAAATCAGGGTATAATGGTTTTGTGGAAAATTATGTAAAAGGCAGAAGGAGGCGTGGCAGATCCCACAAAGTATACATATATATTCTTGATCAGCGTGACGAGCTGAGTCGATGTAACCCTGTCCGTCTGTCCGTCCGTATGAGTGCGTCGATCTTTGAAGTTACAAGAGATAGAGAGCTGAAATTTGGCATGCATACTCGTGTGTACCATAYGCAGTACGAGTTWGCTTTATTTTTTCGATAAATCATCCGATAACTTTTTTATCGAGAATAATCGAAAATTGATTTTGTTTTTTTAGTCTAATTTGAACAATTTTAGACCTGGAGTCTTCAAATTTGCGTTGTATATAAAGTTAAGCGATACAAAGATTTTGTAATTTACAGATTTTGGATACCACTTTCTCTTCTCCCCCAATTTGTAAAAAATTTTCGCATTTCAAGTACTAGAGACTTGTGCTTTAGAATGTACACACATATTCACCATATGATTACGCTTTGAAAGTTTCATTAAGATCGTATGTCTACAAAAGAAATTATTCAACAATACACTGCAGCGCAGCCCAAGCGCAGTCGCAGCTTACTGCTCAGTTAGCAGTGCTCGCAGGCTTATGCGTGCGTGTGGATGCATGTGTATGTATGTGTGCATAAAAGAAGTGCAGAATGATTAGAATATCAGCTTGGAGGGTTCAGGGTATCTCCTAGTCGAGCAGTCTCGACTGTAGCCTTCTTACTTGTTTTAGCATTGTTTTAGGATACGTAAAATCACTAGACTTACCCCATTCCAATTTGGCTCTGCTCATGCTCCACTTCGCTGCGCCGGCACAGCTCCAGGAAATGTCGCCTGATGGCTTTAGTAGCTGCATCGTTGAGCAGCGGCTTGACATGATGACGCGCATAAGAAATGAANGTCCGTCCGTCCGTATGAGTGCGTCGATCTTTGAAGTTACAAGAGATAGAGAGCTGAAATTTGGCATGCATACTCGTGTGTACCATACGCAGTACGAGTTTGCTTTATTTTTTCGATAAATCATCCGATAACTTTTTTATCGAGAATAATCGAAAATTGATTTTGTTTTTTTAGTCTAATTTGAACAATTTTAGACCTGGAGTCTTCAAATTTGCGTTGTATATAAAGTTAAGCGATACAAAGATTTTGTAATTTACAGATTTTGGATACCACTTTCTCTTCTCCCCCAATTTGTAAAAAATTTTCGCATTTCAAGTACTAGAGACTTGTGCTTTAGAATGTACACACATATTCACCATATGATTACGCTTTGAAAGTTTCATTAAGATCGTATGTCTACAAAAGAAATTATTCAACAATACACTGCAGCGCAGCCCAAGCGCAGTCGCAGCTTACTGCTCAGTTAGCAGTGCTCGCAGGCTTATGCGTGCGTGTGGATGCATGTGTATGTATGTGTGCATAAAAGAAGTGCAGAATGWWKAGAATATMAGCTTGGAGGGTTCAGGGTATCTCCTAGTCGAGCAGTCTCGACTGTAGCCTTCTTACTTGTTTTAGCATTGTTTTAGGATACGTAAAATCACTAGACTTACCCCATTCCAATTTGGCTCTGCTCATGCTCCACTTCGCTGCGCCGGCACAGCTCCAGGAAATGTCGCCTGATGGCTTTAGTAGCTGCATCGTTGAGCAGCGGCTTGACATGATGACGCGCATAAGAAATGAATTTCTTAATTAATATCGGTGGTAGCAGATCCAGTTCGCCATGCTCTTGGATGCTATGATCCAATCGTTTATCCAAATCATAGTCCTGCTGCATAATGCTGTCATCATCATTATCGTCATCGTCATCTTTCGGCTGAGCAGCGGGAACATCATTCAAATTAATCTCACACATGGAATCGCTTTTCTTGGGCTTTAATACGAAGCGTGCAGCAATCTGGGATCGCTTTCTGGAGCCAGCGTGCAGAGCTCGCACATGCTCTGTGAGGGATATATCACGGGTCTTCGACGGTCTGTCCAACAGCACGTACACCAAATGAAACTCTTTTAGCAGGGCAGGAGTAATCCTTATATTCTGCAACAGATAACGGGACTGGTCGTACTGGCCACGTTGAGGATTGGCACAGGCTATGATCGCTGGTTGCGCGTCGTAGGAGGCAAACGCGCCAGGAAGTACCACATTTAGCTGTCCCGCCTGCATGGACTGCAGCAGCAACGTTTGCTTGGAGGCCAACTTATCCACGCCATCGACCATGCAATGCCCCGCCGTACTGGCCGTGAGCAGTGCGCCTGCATCCATTACCCGCTTGTTGCGTCCGGTGAAGTTGATTCCCAATTGATTACCCGCCTGGCTGCCACGCTTGCCGCTGACAAAGCCGCCTCGTTCGGAAATCTGTGCACAATTCTGTAACAGCTTGGATTTACCAATGCCCGGATCGCCGACCAGCAGCACATTGATTTTTTCGCCGAGCAACGACAACAGGCAGGCAGCCTTTGCCATTTCGTGACCGTGCAGCTCCGGAGCCAGGGATTGCACCAGCAGCTTAAAGTTATTGGGCTCCGAGTTGATCATGGAAATGACTTTCAGATCGCGTTCGCTAAACTCCGGCTTAATGTGATATGCCTGTTGCACGCTACACGCTCGCAGATATGCTTGTGTATCGCCGCCAGTTGTTGCGGCCGCAGATGTCGACGGCTGTTCACTGTTGTCGCTCAGCTCTCGCAGCTTTAGGACGCCCGTGACGATAATCTCTTGCCCCACTTGCACTGAATCTACCAGATCGTGACGCAGCTCGATGTCCAGTTCACCAGCAAGTGCATTATCATAGTCTGTCAGCAGTGAGATGCTCGTCTCCTCCAGACGTATGATCTGGCGCACAGAAAGTCGCGTATAGGGCGAGTTGCGCAGCGCCAGAAAGTTGTCCTTCGCACTGCAGAGGGGTTTCATACAGTGATATGGACGCGGTGAGTAGGTGCCACGCTGACGCAGTGATTGTTCTGTGTGGCAGCGTGTGCACCGGAAGGCTTGCCAGGCCAGGCCACAGATGGGTTCGCCAACACTGCTTACAATGCCTCGCACTGCGAACATGCTGTCCACACGAGCGTGGCTTATGCTGCTGATCAGCTCCACTGGCACAAAGTCCTCGGGACGTACGTAAATCTTGCGTGTGCGTCCACGTCGTGGTACATACGAATCCTTGGTGGTTACCATGGGCAAAATGCTGTCCGCCGCTTCATCGGCAGCAACATCGAGGCCATTGTTGACGACAACTGTGTGCATGGCCATGGCTACTGTAGACAGTGTACGCAGTGGCTGTTTCTGCAAATCCTCTTTCAGTGTTGGCCATACTAGCTTTAGCTGCTCGTCATTGAGGATGACCGGCGCTGAAAGCTGGAAACATCCACTTTGACGTATGAGTGCTACATTATATATTAGTGGATTACGTTGATAATGCGCTTCCACAGCTACAATACGCTTAGCCATCTCGCTATCTGCGACGTACTCCTCGCGCATAAAGTACAAACGCCAACCAGGACACGCGCGAGGATTGTCCACAAGAAGACTGCGCACCTGCAGTGCATCTTCTGGAGCAACATAATTTTCCGGGCGCAAATAACTGCAGTCAAGTGCCGCATTAGAGGCCCGTTTTCGACCTGCACCGTCATCGGCCCGAGCACGATTCCAGCCTCGTGGCTGTGCAGTGCCTCTGCTAGTGGAATCGTGATCTGCACCCGCCGGGCGATTCCCACCAGCAGGAATGACGCGACCATTTCGTCGAAAATAGAAATAAGGGCGGTACCCACTGCCGCCACGCGCTTTTCCACGAACAAATCTGGAAGCCCCGCGGTTTGTGGGTGGACTCATTTCTATATAGAACCAATATCAATTTTAAATCTAATTTCACACAAGTTTCGCGCTTTGCTTCTTCTTCTAACTGTTCTAATAATTCGCCACGAAAGTATATCAAGGAAATTTAAGTCAAATTATCGATGTTTTTTGTTTTTAATTGAATAAATGTTGTAAATATCGATATAACTTATCATAACAAAATTTAATAAATGAATATTTATATTAATGTTTCTCATTGTCATTTGATTGAAGCATCTTCATATCACGTTCCAGCATATCTACCTGTGAGGGTAAGTAGTGCTTAAAAACAATTTTAACCTTAGTTTTTAACTCTAAAAATGTTTCGAGCAACAGTTTTTCTTCCTCCTCATTTTGGGCCTGAAATCCCTGCAACTCATGAAAGAAATTAACGCATCCGTCAAGTAATTTAACTTGCTTAATTTGTAGTTCAGCCAACTGTTTCTGTACAGCACTGATCATTATTATATGGTCGTCAACACGCGTTGACATGGTGGCAATAGAATCCAACTGCATCTTATGTGGATGAACATTATCTGATGATTCTGTACGTACTGAGCTAATTTCGTTTAGATCATTTTCATCGATACATTTCTCTTTCCTGGACTCCGGAACAGATGTAACAGTATTAGCTTTTGACTGCTGTTTTTGCTCCTTTACTTGCTTCTTAAGCGCAGCCTCGTCAGCTAGCTACAAATATAAATACTTGCTTAGAATGTAAGATCGTTGTATTTTAAATAAATTTTTGTCACCTTCTTTTTAGCAGCTTTCGATTTATTTTTCTTTGCCATTTTGGAAAAGCTCAAAACGCCAAAAGCTGTAAATGAATTCTTATCCTTCTGAAATATAAAAATTAGATTATTTACGAATGCAAATATAAATGACAGTAAACTCCCAGCTCACCGTCCGAAAACATTTATATTGATATGCACAAAAGTGTTCCTCATACAGTGACCGCGCAATTCAAAATTAAATATATAGCATACAAATATATCGTACCATACATCGATAGGTATTTTATTCATGGGCATTTTTTGGTATTTCGTTATTTTTTAAATTCGGTTACACTCTTAAGACTTTGCAGTGGGTGTTTGCCCAAGTAATTTACGGAAAACCAAAAACTTTAGTTAAAAACTGCAAATTATTTAATCTTAACAATGCCGGTGAGTATTTAGGTTGACTAGCGTAGTCACTAAATGAACTTAATGATAATCATTGGTAGAAACGAGGCTTTGTTGAACATCTCGACCACACACAGAGATAGCTACTTATAAAATTCTTATCCATTGTTTACATATTCTCTAGGCATACCACTCGCAAATTAAGGACTTTCGTCAACAGGTAGGCAACATGGCCATTCTACCATTGCGTACCCAGGTGCGTGGACCAGCCCCATCTACGAATACGGAGAATGATATTATTGATGAGTCACTTTATTTCTTCAAAGCAAATGTATTCTTCCGGACATACGAAGTAAAGGTGTGTATTGGACTACAAAATAAAACAAATATAAAACTAATATATTTAATATGTTGCTTGTAGTCGGAGGTGGATCGAGTTCTAATCTATGTTACATTATATATAACCGAATGTCTTAAGCGGCTGACACGTTGCACTAGCAAGGCCCAGGGTCAACAAGAAATGTATAGCCTAGCTATTTCTAAGTTCGATATACCCGGTGAATCAGGCTTTCCACTAAATTCGGTCTATGCCAAGCCTCAAAGCTCACAGGATGCCGATCTTATGCGTCAGTATATTTTACAACTGCGCCATGAAACGGGCAATCGGGTGTTGGAGAAGGTATTTAACACCGAGGATGGCAAGCCAAACAAATGGTGGACTTGCTTTGCCAAGAAGAAGTTCATGGAGAAGAGTCTGGCCGGTCCAGGACAATAAATCAAAATGTGTTTTATTCCAATGTCGAATTGTATTATTTAGTATCGATTTTTTATGCGAATACAATAACCACACAAATGTGTACTTTATCAGTGTTACCCGAAGTTCTTTAATTGGAAAAACATTTCTAAACAAAAATCTAATATGTACAGAGAATAATTAGCGGTACAGATGATCGGCTTGAAGGTTGGATGCAATCTCTGATTCCCATTTGTCGCCATTGCACAAGAGCTTTTCCTTGTTGTAAAGCAATTCCTCGTGCGTCTCCGTCGAGAACTCAAAATTTGGACCCTCAACAATCGCATCGACTGGGCAAGCCTCCTATTAATGGAAGAATCATGAACCCCACTGAAAATTATATCCATATGGATAAATTACCTGACAAAAACCGCAATATATGCACTTGGTCATGTCAATATCGTATCGAGTCGTGCGCCTGCTGCCGTCGGCACGCTCCTCGGCCTCAATAGTGATAGCCTGGGCGGGGCAAATAGCCTCACAAAGCTTGCAGGCAATACAGCGCTCCTCGCCGCTTGGATACCGACGAAGTGCATGCTCGCCACGGAAACGTGGACTCAGTGGCCCTTTCTCGAACGGGTAGTTAATCGTTGCCGGCTCTTTGAAAATATGTGCTAGTGTTACAGCAAAGCCACGGAACAGTTCGCCAAAGAACATTGAGGTGGCAGCACGATCTGTGATAGCATCCATATCCATGCTCAACTCCTTGTTGTTAACGTAAACATAGCCCTTGGGCACAGGCACTATGTCCTTGGCTTCCTTTTGGGCGGCAAACAGGCGTGCGCTGTTGGTGCCAAACATGCGCTGACCTGATTAGAAATCATTATATTATTTTATTCAAATGATAAACTTGAAATTATTGATTTGTTTTCTCTATGACATAAGGTTACATAACCTCATTCGATTAAATGAACCATAATATTGTTTATTATATGGTATTAATGATTGACACTGTTCTTTTACTAACCATTACGCGAGAGTGTGAAAATTCGTATTGTTAGCGACATGTTTGCGGCGCACAAATTATTTGTCGGAAAACAAAATTACAATTGCTTTGTTGTGGTATTTTTGGCCGATAGACAAGCTCTCTACCAGGGATGAAACGACTCTGCAGATTATTTCGATAAGTAATAAAATGTCAAATGATTATCGAATGTGACTGTCGGACCGATAAGTATTTGTTTAAAAAGCAAGACAGTCAGTCAGTCAGTCACGCAAAGTCGAAGCATCCTTTTGTTCGAAAAACTCTTGAATATTCTTTTAATGATAAATTAGTGTAATAATATTTGCCAATTACAAGTACTGCGTATATTTAAACATTAATCAGTTCTTTTGTGCCGAACTGAAGGTCAATTACATTCGCATTCCAAACGGTGACGACATCACTATTTTTGTTTACAATTTCATAAGCAAACGTAAGCATGTCGGATCTCTCCTATCTCGAAACGATTTCCAACAAAGAGCTGCACGCTAAATGCCTGGAATATGGGCTACCAAATATACCGGTCACCGATACTAGTCGCAAAGTAATTTTGCGTCGTTTGCGCAACACTATTTTAGGCACAGAAAACAAAAAAACTGCTGCCACAAAGTCGCCAAGACGTGAAACCGTACACAGCAGTAAGGCGACACCGACAGATGCCACAAACGCGAATGAGCCGCGATCGGCAGATAAAGCTCCGAGGCGCAACAACAACATAAACAACACACGGCGAACTATTGCTGCCACGCCTCAAGAATATTATCCGCTAGAAAGCTCATCTGTGCGCTCTGTACAAACAACAACAACAGTGTCCGATGTGGGTTCATCAGAGGATGATGATTACTACTACCAAATAAATACGCCAACAAGCCTTAAGTCCCAGAGAGACGATTCTCGTCAGCGTCGTTCTGTCTCATTAAGCAAATCCGGCGTTTTAACCACGTCATATACACGCGAGGTGGAGAAGCCGCATTACGAGGAAGAGCCCGACGAAGAGCCACAAAGTTATACATATCAGCGACCTCAGGCGACTACTACAGCACCTGCATTCAAGCTACCCGTATATGAGCAGCCCATTGAACGCAGCTATCGCCCAGAACTGTCTCGGCAAAATTTGACCCAATCACAGCTGAATTCAACCAGCTATTCTGAAGCACCTAATGAATTCCCTGAAACTCGCATGCAACAGGCGTATCGGAATACTTTCAGTGGCTCGGCGGCGCCTTTCAATGCGGCTAATACAACAACAACATCAGGAATACGACAGCGTCCAAGCCATGTAGAAACCGGTGCTGCCAGAGCACGCTTGCCCACATACAAGGTCAACACATTGTATCCCCAGCTGAATGATTTCTACGATCAGCACAACAACTCTATTGAGCCGATGGACACAGAATCCGATAGTGAATACGAACCGGAAACTCAACGCCAGCCCCAGCAGCAGCGTTCATCTGGCGGCAATCTAGAATCACCCTACTTGAGTCATTTTTCGCGCCAGCTGGATACAAGAAAGAGATCTTCACCGTTGGCCAGGCCTCAAATACGTACAACTGTTCGCCAAGAGGATCCAAATGCTACCAGGCAGAAATTTCGAGAACTGATGGAGTCCCTAGATCGTCAATATAATCTCAAGTTTTATTTCTGTCTAACGGTGGCAGTCATATTAGCCACGTTAATATATGTGATAGTCACTCCCGCTGTCTAAAGCAACGTGAGAACATCTCTATATATGATTATGCATGAATATTAATCTGTAAAAGCATTGTATGTGAAATTATGATATACACAACATTTTAAAATATTCCATATGAATTATTTCTAGAAAGTTCTCAACTTTTGGTCATGGCTTAACTTAGAATATTCTTGTGTACAGACACTGTATTTAAAATTGCTATAAATGCATATTAGGTAAATAACGAACAAAAAATATATTACTGATTCTATATAAAAATAAATAATTTCTGACTGACATGATGAAATCGGAAGCATCTTAAAAGATAACCAAAAAAAAATAAGATTTTGTAACTTGCCAACTAAATATTTTCTTCCTATGTTTCTTGATTAGATCTTATGTCTTATTTTTGCCTATCTATAATAATATAATTGTAGCACAGAATTTGGTATTTCATTGTTGCTATTAAATTATTAAATAAAACACGAAAAAACAAACCCATAGTCTTCAAAATAATTGACTTGCTGTCAGCTTTTTTTTTAGACTGGGAAACCAGAATACATTTTTAGTTTCAGAAAAAAATTTTGATATATCCTTAAAACAAACTGCAGCCTTTTGGTTATTGACGGTTTTCGATATTTTGCTTTTTTTTTTTTTGGCTAAAATTTACTTTAATTATGTTGAAAGATAAATTTGTTCCAATGAAACAGTGAAATTCATCCTTAGCCTTGCCTCTTCTGAACAATTTTTCTTCATTCTTAATCGTTTTCATTTTATTTTTTATATTTTTATATATATAATTAGAAAAATGTACTACATTACAATTATTTTATTAAATAAACTAGTTAAATGTAAATCCTTTTGTTTTTCAGTATCCTTGTTTTCTTGTGTGTGCTTCAGTTATCGGTTTTAGTCTTTATGCTAATATATACAGGCTATTTTAGAGTTGCAACACAAACAAGTGTAAAATCGTAAAGCTTGAAGGGGACATGTACTAAAAGGAAAATGCAGTAACTGTTAGGCGTGGAAGTGGGCGGGTCGAGGCACGCTGGAGCGATATGAAGGATCTCAATATGACTGCATTAAGATGGGAAGGAAAAAAACACAAGTAATCCCTGGCTCAACAATGGCTCTTTTTAAGCTCTGTTTAATTAAAATGGAACTTAAACTGGAACGGCGAACCGTGCTGGAAGTGTGCAAATGGATCTGCGCCTCGGAAACCATGTTGATTGCTCTCCGGGTCCAGGGGGTCTTCGCCGTTATCGAACTGACGACGCTTCTCTGGATCTGTGAGTACTTCCTTGGCCGCTGCAATATCAATGAACTTCTTCTCTGCCAGCTTCTTCTCCTCATCCTTGAAATTGTCCGGATGCCATTTCTGTGCCGCCTTACGATAAGCCTTTACAATCTCCTGTTTGCTGGCATTGCGTTTCACGCCAAGAATTTTGTAATAATCTCGACGTTCCGCCTGCTTTTGCAGTTTCTTGGCCTTCTGGATGCCCTCCTTGGCCCGTGAATTATTCTCATCGATTTCCAACGCCGACTGATAGTCGTGTATGGCATCATCATACATCTCACTGCCCATCAGGGCCTCGGCACGATCACAATACAGCTGTGCATCTTTCATAATGTCCAGCGCATGCTTGCAGTGCGACAACGCTTTGCCGTACTGTTCGTCTGTGGTGTAGCAGGAGCAGAGCAGCTTGTGCGCTTCATATCGTATCATCGTCTCCTCGGGCTCGTGTTTGAGGACCGCTTCGGCAGCAACTATGCACTCGGGTGCCCGTTTTTCCTCTCGTGCGGTCTCTGCTGTCACCAGCTGTTTCTCTACTTTGCGCAGTTTCTTGTAGAATGGAAAGCAGAGTTTGTGCTCGGGATCGAACTTGAGGCATTCGCGAATCTCCTTTAGCGCATTAGTAGCATGTCCAATATTATATAAGAGCTGTGCTATATTATAATGTCCCTCCGTGCTGTCCTGCGACAATCGATTAACCTGTCGTAAATCCGCAATAGCCGAGAGTGGATCATTTGTCTTTAAATAGGCGTCAGAACGGGCCTGTCTAAAGGTCACTGACCAGGGTGAGATCTCTAGCAACTGTGTTATCATGCCTATGGCATTCTGTTCATCATTATTGTTAAGCAGACGCTGCACCAGCTCCCACTGTTCCTTGGCTGGCCGCACTCTTGCATAATGCTCAAGCACAAGACTATTTTGCGGTTCCTCCCGCAGTACAAGCTCAAAGTCCTGTAGTGCGTGATCATAGTCTCCGCTCTTCATGTGCACAATACCACGCTGACTACGCGCTGCTGTAAAGTCCGGTTTAAGCTCCAGCACTCGGCTGAAGTCCTGAATGGCAAATCGTGTCTTACCCAATGCAAGGTAAACGGTGCCACGCTTGAAGAGCGTCAAATAATTATTGGGATCGCCCTCTGTAAGTTAATATGTGTTCTGATTTCAAGCGTATTAATGCAAAATGCCTTACACTTACCCACAGCTGCATGATAATGCGTCAGTGCATCCGAAAGCTGTCCGCGAGCCAGAAAGTCTTTGCCTAGCTCCAGATGGTTGTCGATGTCCGCCTGACTCGCCGATGCCGCATCAGCGCCTGCATTGAATGACGTGTAACATAACAGTTATTTTATTATTTGTTATCAGTGTATAAAAATTGCGATTAAAGACTAAATTAGATATAGACTCGTGCCGTTATTGTTTAAAGGGATACATTTCGTTGATTTGTGGTATTATAGAGCACATTCAGTAGCCTGTCTGGTAAAACTGCAACTCACCTTCCATGAAGAGCTCCACAAGCAGCAGCAGGACGCAGGCAGCCAATTTCTTTTCACCGCTGCCAAGCAGCAGCAGATCGCTCAATGGCAAAGCCATTATGCGTGTATGTGTGAGTGGGTGTGTTTGTAGGCGTCTTAACCAGTTGTTACTGAGCGTCTAGGCCGATTCTTTTATTTTAATGCGTTACACACGTCACACGTTATAGCTTGGCAGCCACGTCTAGCTCTTCTTCTGATTGTCTATGTATCACAGCAGCTAATCTTTACCGTTGCACCTGCTTACTTTATGCTATTGTTTGTTGTTGTCGCACTTTCTTAATAGTTTTATCCGTTTTTGGGAGCAAAAGAATATTAAAAGTTTGATCGTTTCTTTGTTGAATAATCAGATAAATAGTACTACGCAATTTGTTGCTTTATGACCATTTCGATCGGTAACCGACTCGCTATTACACTTTAGCAAATACGTTTGCCTCAATTTTGGTAGAACTTGCTGCTTAAAAACCTAAACACTGACGTGTTATGCGAGCTACAACAGCCCAAAAAGCGGTGCTGCCAGACATCTTAGCGGCATCTGATTTTAGCAACTTCTGGCAGCTCCATGAAAAACAGGGCTGTTATTTAGTGTTCACCACTTGCGATAGTTATCGCTCCCATATTTCAAATCAAACGTTATCCAAACATATTAAAAACTTTTGTRTCAATTTAAATTGTATGTATGTATAACGAACTCGAATTTAGTAAATATTGTATATTTATACATATTGCACTACTACACTAATATATATGATGTTATTGATATATATTTTTTCTTCTCATAATTGTAAATGTAAATATGTGTGTTGAATTTTCTTCTTTTTTTTTGTTTTTTTTTTTTTTTAAATAAATGCAATATCTTTTTTGAGCATTAGCTTAAATACATTTTTATAACATTTTTCTATCACTAAAATGGTCATGTATTGTGCATTCTGTGAAAGACATAGACATATGTTTATAGGTATTCTAGATTAAAGATTTGGATGGACAAAATACTTTTTGTGTGAGCTTAAATGCGGCTTTTAAGGAAAATAGATTTAGTTTAATGAAATTTGCCTACAGAGTATAAAGCTTTCATACAACCGTACCCTGTGCATGATCCATATTGAAATGTGTATAGCTAAATATAATGAAAGTCTACTCTTATAATAGGATTTAATGGAGGGTCTACGATTTAAAAATTCTTTGTTGGACACGACTTTTTAAAAGCGATGTCACCCTTAGAGTATCATAGTATTTCTGTTGATGCTTTGCTAATGGAATAATTATATAGTATTCTTTCTGCTGTTCCACTTGGATTCTATATCATTGGTACAATTTAGTTAATCACAATATTGATCAAATCATCCAGCGTATCCTTAGAATGCGACTGGTCGCCATCATGTGCCTTCTTCATGTGAGCTGAAAGACAATAGAGATTATATATAGAAAAAACAATTAATTGATTCCCATGCCGAGAATAGGTACTTTTAAATTTAATGTGAGTGACAAATCGCTCTTGGCACAGATCGCATTTGTAGTAGGTATTGCCTGTGTGTACACGTTGATGCAACCGTAGTGACTTCTCAAAAAGATACGCCCGTCCACAGGTCTCACACTTGAAATTCTTCTCAAGAACTACAAATACATAAGTATTATATAATATATATTAAAAAGGTAATTCTAACTTTGAAATTGTATCCTAAGTATAGGTCGACGACAATAGGATGTTAAGACTTCAAATTTAGCTTTTAGAGATGGAATAGATCTTGCTTATATGTATATAAAAGCATTTGAAACTCTATTATTTCCGGTAGAAGTTTTTAGAAACCTGAGAACACAAATTCAAAGGAGATAACTCACCTTCATGACTGCGCATATGCTGAGTTAGGACATATTTCAAGGCAAAGGCCTTGCCGCATACATCGCACACATTAGGTTTCTCATTGGCATGAGTTTTCATATGCCACTTAAGATCCTGAGCACGCTTATAGCGCTTGGAGCAGTGCGAGCAGGCATGCAGCCGATCCGCTGAGTGAACAGCCATGTGACGCTCTAAGGCGGACTTCATGTTGAAACGTTGGGTGCAGCTGCCGCACTGGAAGAGACCCGTATATTGTCGTTCCCGTTTGCACTGGATCACTCGCTTATTGTTCGCAATGATCGGAGCCGAGGAAGTTTCACGCTGTGCATGCTCCATGGTCATATGTTGGATGAGCTCCTGTTCCGTATCGAACTCCTGGCGACATGACTGAAACATGCACTCGCTACGCTCCTGATGCGTTAGATTTTCCGTGTGCAGCTCAAGCATATGAATGCGCTTCTCCACATAGGAGGCAAAGACTTTGTGGACGAGATTTAAGAGATAGTCAATGTTAAAGTAAGCAACAGGAATCTGTGGATCATAGCACTAATTTGTGGGGGTGTTATGTAACAACAATTGGGTATTAGTGGCTTGCATGCGGCGCTCCAGGGTTGTGGACATTTCATACTCGTTCACAAAGTGGCCAAGATAGGATATGGGTAATATATATGTAGTTGTCAAATTGAATGGTACAAAATATGACAATATTTTATCTTGTGGCCAATAAAAATCATGACATTATGAATTGAAAGTAATAATTTCCATACATAATTGTCGAATATGATACTGATTAAATACTTTCAAACTTAAATTTAGAAACTGTGGACGAGTATTACGCAGTCAGTTGAATACGACTGCTGTATTATTATTATGCATGATTTTCGTAATAATTGTAAAATATTTTAAAATTAGGAATTAATAAAACTTGGACAAGATATTGTGATATATATTATATGTATGAACTTTTGTTGCCATGCTTCATTTTTTTTTTTTAAGTTTTTCTAATAGGAGTATTAAAAAATAGCTGAGCCATGTTTACCCTTAACTTGACTAACACAGAACAAAAAGCAGCAGATAGACGCCTTCAGAGTTTTTGGGGCATAAGTCTTTAAAGCGTTTGCGATGAGTTTTTTGATGATGCGTCAGATGTTTTATTTTAAATTAATAATGATTTCTTATATTTAAAAAATCAACTTTCGATTTGTAAGCTGTGATTTGAACATCTAGCAGTCAATTAATCAATTATTATAAGCTCACAAAATGAAAAAGCTTGACTTTAGCTTAAGCACTTTAAAGTATTTAGACATCTCTTGGAAACTTTTATATATGGGCAGTTCCAAACAGAGCAGATTAAAGATTAGATCACAGATCGAAGTAAAAATAAATAGAATATAAAGATATTAAATTTTATGATTGCACCTGGAACTGCCCATTATTTATTATATTAACACGAATTCTCTGAGAACTACCAATTGATATTCTAAATATGTTTATAGTGCTTTCTTAATTTCCAAATTCAACTCACCCTCAGTGCAGATGGCGCATTTGAAAGGCTTCTCTCCGCCATGCTGTCGATAGATATGCCAACGAAGGGTTTTTACATGTATGAATGCTGTGGGAAATATGTGTATTTGACTATGTGAATATATAAATACAATGGAAATGTTCTCTTATGTAGGTTACTGTATCTGCATTATGTTCAATTTTATCTATATTTTAGTGTGTACTTATGTGTGAATGTATGTATAAATTTTGTTTATGTATGCCTCTATTCATTTGTTTAAATGTAAATTTACTTTTATACTAAGTATAATATATAAAAGGGCAACATAATTTTATACATCAAAGGAAAAAGTTATTAATCAAGCCGCCTTTTACAACGAACACTTTTTCTTCCATTCTATTTAGATATATTTCTCACACTTCTATATTATCTCGCTGATAACTTCTTTTATGCCTGAACAAAGTTGAATAAAATGATTTCCGTTTCTTAATGTTTGTGTGCGTAAATATATATAAATATGAGTTACTTTATGATATAAATAGGCGACCCACCTTTACCACAAAAGCCACAGTACTCGCTCTTACGGGAGCCCTTCGTGTGGGTGGCCTCGTGACATATGAGATGTCGTTGATTGATGAACAGCCGGTCACAGCCGTTGTGACGACATCGGAGCTGACGCTCCGGCTTGTGCCAGTTCATGTGGTAGTGCAGGCTTTTGCGCGTAAAAAAGCGCTTCTCGCACATGCTGCACTCGAAGTCCGTGTCCGAGTGATACTTCTCAATGTGATGGTCGAGATTATGGCGGTCTCCATACTTTTTGCCGCAAACTTCACAGGCATAGTGCTTGACCACATGAACGCTCTTCATGTGGACGGTACGCGATGCTGTGTCTTGAAAACATTCAGTGCACTCCGGGCAGTTGTAGGGTTGATCTGGATCGTGGCAGACGCTAATGTGCTCTAGTAACAAGTGCTGTAGCTCATAGCTTTCTTGCGGCTTATAACAGAACTTACAAGCATAGCTTATATTCAATGAATTACAATCTGAGCCTAAGTCGACTTCATTATCTTCCGGCTGCAAGGATTCGCTTTCGTTAATGCTAATGGTTTCCACAAAGATTTCAACGGGCGCGGGCGATTTGTCCGCATTAATGGCAGTGTTCTCTGTTGTTGTTGTCGTTGTTGCTGTTTCTGCTACTGTACATATTTTCGTTGTTGCTTCTGAATCATCAGCATCAACTTCAATACTTTCTTCACTTCTATCATACAGTAAGTTAGCATCGATTTTATCAAAAATATTCGACAGCTTTAATTGTGCGTCCTGGCAAGCCATGCGAAACGTGTAAACTGAGCAGAACTTTGTAAAGCAATCGCTACAAATTTTTTGTGGGAGTCCATCGTTTGGAGAGATCTAGACAATATTAAGACGATTCACGACAAAAATGTAAGTGAAAGTAATACAAAGCCAAGGAAAACGTATTTAAGCACATTAAAAACATTTGATATTCTTAAATTTACGTTAAGTTTTCAAGAAACGATACTTAATTAGTTATCGATATAGCCAAATTTCCTACGTCTATTAACACACACAGATTACTGAATATCGATAAATTGATGTTTCTATCGACATCCCATACGCACCGTTGCACGATCAAAAGCTTAATTAAAATGCAGTGCACAAACTTTCACAAACTGCACTTTATGTTTGTTTTGTTTTCAGACTTTCTAGCATGGTCTCACCTGTAATTTCCAGTTGACAAACTCTGTGCGAATTTGCGCCATTTCACTCTGCCAGCGCGTTGGATGAAACATATCCAGCCAATAGTTGTTGCCATTTTCGAAATCGCACCTTGCACAGGTGCGACACGTTTCCATGGCTGCAGTGGTAAACAAACTGAGCAGTCAACATCAAACCTCAACGCCCAGCTCCGAATTGCAACAGTCAGCAGACATACAAACATGCACACTATTAGTGCTTGCATGTACATAAGTGTGTATGTGTGTCAGCATTTACATATGTATATTTATGGCTTTGTTTTCGTGTCCAGGCAAGTTATGCAACTTTAGGAATAACTCTAATCACACAACCGCGCACATAAAGCTAAAGTTTTTGGCCACAGCTGGAATTGGCTACCAGCATCTGTTCCATATGCAAGCTAAGCATGTGGATGCTGCGAGCCTGCACTAATGCACATATTTGTACATATATGTTCGTGCTCCTGGACAACTATTGATAGAAGCAGTAAATCACGGAATTATTTCGCTACATCCTTCGTCAAAAGCGAGATGTTTTCTATGTCGCACTCCCGCCTGAACTGACCTTCGCTGTGTGCTTAAGCGAGTCTGTGTAGAGATTGAATTCCCACACATACACCCACATACCATCACACGCACACAGAATTGCAACTGGCGCATGTGTCGGTGTTAGCCCACCCCAGCTTTTGGCGTCGCTCAGCTGATTTGCTTTGTTTGTGTACTTGCGCAAAACTTAGATGGCCAATACGCCAAAGCTTCGCAAATCGCAAAACAAGCTTGGAGGAAGCTTTGCTTGAAAGGGAAATATAAAGATTTTTCTCGAATGCAAAATTCAACTTTGCGCTTAAATCAAATTTTTTTTAAATTAATTATTAATTTTTTATGTAATTATTTTTAAAATTCAACTATTCAAATTCCCTGTTCCGCGTTCTACTTACTTAAAATGTAACGCTCGATAATTGAATTCGAATTCGATATATTGATTCACAATAGACTTTCAGACTTTTTATACCCTGTACCACTAACCACAGTAGTTAGTGCCTGTACCCATTGAAAATGGGAAATCAGGGTATAATGGTTTTATTGCGATGTATGTAATACGCAGAAGGAGGCGTGGCGGACCCCATAAAGTATATATATTCTTGATCAGGGTGGCGAGTTGAGTCGACTTAGCCCAGTCCGTCTGTTTGTCTTTCCGTCCTTTCGTCTACCGTATGTTTTAACGTGTCGATCTCAGAAGATATAAAAGCAGCACGGATATCGAGTTTATCTTATTACTTTTTTTTTATACCCTGTACCCATTGAAAATTGAAAATCAAGGTATAATGGTTTTGTTAAATGTATGTAATAGGCAAAATGAGGCATGGCAGACCCCATATATTCTTGATCAGGGCGACGAGCTGAGTTGATTTAGCTCTGTCCGTCTGTCCGTATGTTTGAACGCCTCGATCTCAGAAGACATAAGAGCTATCGATTAAAAACTTTATCGAAAATAAGTTTTAAAATATATCTCCTTCATCTCAAAATTTTATATGTAAACTTATATGCATTTTATCCAATTTCGGTTTTTGTCAAAATTTACCCCCCACCCCTAATTCACCCCCTCACCCTCCTACACCTTTAGACCTAGAGTCTACAAACGTATTATATAGTTTTATACATATGTATTTTATAAAATTACGATTTTCGTTCAAATTCAAACCCACACCATAACCCTCCCCCCCACCGCCCATATCCACCCCCTCACAAATAAATTTGTAAAAGGCGTATTTCAAATCCTAGAGACTTCTGCTTTGGCAAATGCACTGATTTTGATCAATATAATCAGAATCTTAAAATTTCATGAGCAAAGTCCACCCACAAGAAAAGTATTTAACCAATTAAATTCCCATAGTATTATCAAACTGCAGCTCTTGCGTGTTTATGCGTGCCTGCCTATGTGTGTCAGTGTTTCTTCTGTAAGCAGAAAGACGCGAAGAATTATTGATAAATAAGTTCATCGAAGGGTTCATGGGATCTCGTAGTCGAGCAATCTCGCCTAGAGGTTTCTTACTTTTTTTTTTTTTAATTTACTAACCGTGTGTAAGATATGGGAGCTTTTCTTGAGTTCAAACTCAATTTGATTTACAATTTATTCTTAATTATATACAGAAGCATATACATATATGTATGTATATAGATATATATTTCTAGCTTTACACTTACAATAGAGACAACAATCAGATGCTTGGCTCTTTACTAACTGGGCGGCAATATACCCAAAGCTCGTAAACACAACTTGGCCGCATTCAGCTTGGCCTCCTTCTTGTTGTTGCAGGCCTGGGCAGGCGTATAGGTCTGCCCATTGATCTCCACGGAGAAGAGGAACATGCGGCTATGCGAGGGCCCCGAATCGTCCTTCAGTGTATACTGCGGCGGCGTCCATTTGTTTTTCGATGTCAGCTCATTGAGCACACAAACCGGATGCTTGTCCTGAGCGGTGAGCGCAGCTTGTGCAATATTCGTGGCACTTGTGTTCTTCGGGGGTCGTGTGCCCTGTTGGCGGGCAGGCTGCTGTTTGATATCCTCTCGCGAGACAAGACCTCGTTTGTCCAGCTTGACCGTGAGCTGTAGTGGCTGCAGGGCGCCGGTCTTTGTCCGACCCAAGCCTTCGCCCGGCTTCCAGCCCATCTTCTGCAGCAGAGCCATACCCATGCCGCCCGTAACGGGTTTGGTAGAAGTCAACTGATCACGACGTGCCCACAACTGTGGACCACTGTTCAGCTCATGCACCTTCATTACCTGAGCACCAGTGCTGCCCGTAAACTGTCCAGGCAGAAATTTCGAGCTGGCCCAGGAAGACATGTCACGCTGCGCATTGTACATCATTTTCAATGCCTCCGAATCGGCGGGATTATCCTATTAAAACGTATAGTTTTCATTTTCCAATTATAATTACTTATATTTTAATTACTCACCTGCAGACGCCTTATTGCACTGAGGCGTTGGGTAATAATGCTGGATACATCCATGCTAGGCGCCGTGACCTGCGGAAATATTGAAGTACTTGCTGCAGGTGCTGCTGTCGATGGTATGGGCACTTCTGGCACAAAGCGAGTAGGCGTAAAAGCAGGAGCGTTTGAGGGAGGAGGAACTGGAACAGGTGTACGAGCAGGAGCAGGAGTAAGAGTATGAGCAGCTGGAGCAGGAGTAGGCACAGACACTGGCGGAGCTACAGGTACAGACGGCTGGCCTTGGCAACCTTCGTTTGGATTCGTAACAGGCTTGAACGCGGGCTCCTGCTGCTCTTGCTGTGGAATTGTCTTAGCGAAGACATTTCGTTGCACATCCTTGAACATATTTGTGGCTTGCTTGGCCGGCGGCAGCGTAGGCAGCGGCGCTAGCGACTCTTTTGGATCGACTGGCACCCAGACCTCAGACATGCGATGAACCTGACCAGAGGAGACCGGGAACTGCATGGTTATAGCCTTGGTCTGCTCATCGCGGCGCGTGGACGGCGGCACAATTGGTGTGGAGTTTCGTATGTGCATAACAATCGGTTCGCGCTCCTTAAGTTGAAATGGATGATGGAATGCCTTGGCATTGCCATTTTTGTCCACATCCGAATCCTCATCCGAACTAAAATCAGACAGAATTTCACCGTTGGAGATCTTCTTGCAAAAGTCTGTGAGATCTTGCACGCTGCGCCCACCGTAACGCATTTTGAGTAGCACCTTATCCTTCACCTCCGGCGTCATATCGGCCACACCGGCCATGTTGCCTCGCTTAAACATGCTGATTGCATTACGGCGTGCAATCTCCAGCAAACGCTTCTTATCAATGCCCAGGTCTCTTGAACGGGAACGCGTTCGAGAGCGGGAACGAGAGCGTGTACGATGCCTGGTGCTTGTGCTGCTCTGGTGGCGTGGATGGCGTTTATTATCGGTGGAGTCGGCCTTGACAGCTCCGTAGAAACGACGTCGTCCATTATTGGCCTTTTCGCGCAGATATGTCTCCTCGTCAGACAACGAGAGCTCGTCGGATTGACGGCGCTCCGTTTTAGTCTTTACGGATTTCCCATTGTTGGCCTTCGTGCGGGCTTGCCTGTCCTCCTGTTTATCGTGGTAGCCATTGTAGAAGCTATTATGAACACGTTCACGATCACGGTCACGCTCCCTTTCCCGCTCCCGCTCCCGCTCACGCTCACGCTCTCTTTCTTTCTCTCGCTCCCGCTCACGCTCTCTTTCTTTCTCTCGCTCCCGCTCACGTGCCCGCTCTCTTTCCCGTTGAATGCTATGTTCCTGGTCTATTGCTTCCTTCTTGGCCGGCACAGCTACTGCGTCTTCTGTAGCGTGTCTTTTACGACTGTCCGCTCTTTCCTCCTGTACCTTTCCTGTAGGCGCACTTGTCATCTCTTTGGATTTTTCACGATCCTTGTCCTTGTTCTTATCTTTGCTGTCCTTGTGCTTGTGTTTATGCTTCTTTCGCTTGTGCTTATGCTTAGATTTGCCTTCAGCAGACGCAATATCAGTGTCACTGCACTCTCCATCGGACTTGATTTCTTTGTTGCGCGATCTTTTTTTCTTCTCCTTTTTCGATCTTTTATGCTTTTTTAGCAGATTTTTGTCGTCCAATAACTCAACGGGTGGCGCTGCATTAAAGACACCAAACAGTTCGGCAAGTATTTCATTAGACGATTTAACGGGAGCTATTTGCTTTTTGTCATCTTGCGACGAATCGTTGCTGTTGCTCGCATCACTGTCCGAGCCCGATGCAGTTGGGGGCGTGGTACTCTCAGTTTTGACCTTCGCATTCAATGCACCAAGCTTTGCTTCGATCTCTACGTCAATCTTCTCACGTTTCACGTTGACGACCAGTGGAGCATCTGCTGTGGTCTCTGATTTCTGTGGCTGCTTTTCCAACGTGCTGGTACTTTCCGTTTTTTCAGTCATTTCCGCATTGGCGTCATATGGCAGCGCGCAATAATATCTATTCGCATCGAGTTGGATTATATTTTTAATGTATAAATATATATATATACACAAATGGTCCACTTTTTGCACGCCTAAATCATATCAATCGATAGATTCGCTGGCCAAAACATTACCAAAAAACATTTTGCACATACCTAATAGTGATGTCACAATACCGATATTTTTTTTTGCAGCGGTGTAGATTTTTTTAATTTTACAGCCCTGATCAATGAAAGCGCAGCCAACTTTAGTCACGTCGCTGTCACGAATTGCAATTTTTATATCAAAAAAAAAAGGTTTAATCACTATATCATAGACCTGTACGGTGTCAAATCGTAAATGTAAGTGCCACATTTAAAACATATTTATTCAATAGTATCTCAAACGTTTAGTTACACGTAGCGAACATTCCTTAACGCCATTTCTTTTTTTTTCTTAATTTTTCATCGCCTGGTGGTGCTGCCCTTCTTCCCCTCTTCTCCTTGTACGACTGTCATTGTCATCGTGCTGCTACTGTGCCGTGCAATTGTGTTGGTTCTCTCGATGTCGATTTTGTCGGAACTAACGAACGGACGTCTGTGTACGCTACTCTCTGCTATACCCCGCACGCTGGCCTTTTGTTTGTGTCGGTATTTGTGTATATGTGGTTAAATTTTCATTCCGCTTATAATTGAAATAACTACAGAAGTGGACAACGAAAAAAAAAAAAAAAACAAATCAAAAAAAAAAAAAAAAAAAAAAAACATAAAAACCACGAACTTATTTGGAAACATATTAGCATAGATATTTCAGTTTGGACTGGCGCTCTTATATATACAGACATATATTTTCCACGTACATATATATTTACCAACACACACATTGAAACAGCAAAATGACATCGCTGGATCAAAATCGTTTGCAAAACTTTAAAAACAAAGGAAAAGATCAAGATGTAAGTTTGGCTTGAATTGCTTGCAATTTAAAATTTGTTATAAATTTCGAATTAATGTGAACCATTCAATAAACAGGAGATGCGCCGTCGGCGAAATGAGGTTACCGTAGAACTGCGCAAAAATAAACGCGATGANCCGCACGCTGGCCTTTTGTTTGTGTCGGTATTTGTGTATATGTGGTTAAATTTTCATTCCGCTTATAATTGAAATAACTACAGAAGTGGACAACGAACGAAAAAAAAAAAAAAAAAAAAAAAAAAAAAAAAAAAAAAGAAACATAAAAACCACGAACTTATTTGGAAACATAAAAGCATAGATATTTCAGTTTGGACTGGCGCTCTTATATATACAGACATATATTTTCCACGTACATATATATTTACCAACACACACATTGAAACAGCAAAATGACATCGCTGGATCAAAATCGTTTGCAAAACTTTAAAAACAAAGGAAAAGATCAAGATGTAAGTTTGGCTTGAATTGCTTGCAATTTAAAATTTGTTATAAATTTCGAATTAATGTGAACCATTCAATAAACAGGAGATGCGCCGTCGGCGAAATGAGGTTACCGTAGAACTGCGCAAAAATAAACGCGATGAAACAATTCTGAAGCGTCGTAATGTGCCTAACTTCGACTCGAACACAGATGAGGATGAGCAGTTGCCCAATTCGATCAATTTGAAGAAACTTGGCCAGGCCGCATCCGATCCATCAAAACCGGAGCAACAGTTGGCTGCAGTTCAAGCGGCACGCAAATTGCTATCATCGGACAAAAATCCACCCATTGATGATCTGATTAACAGCGATATATTGCCAATTCTAGTTGAATGCTTGAAGCAACATAATCACACAATGCTCCAATTCGAGGCCGCATGGGCATTGACCAACATCGCCTCAGGAACTTCCGATCAAACCAATCAGGTGAGTGGTGTTCATATTACAATTCGACGAAAGTCAACAAATGCAACTGCAGTTGAAATCAGTACTGAAATCAGACTTATGAGATATATATGGACAATTCACAGCTAAAACGAAAAAAAAAAATGTGCATAGAAACAGACTGGCGAATAAAAGCCATATTAGCGCAGTTATTGATACAGTCTTGCATATACGTATAGTTCACATATAATTTATGGGGTCAAATATGTCTCATTCAGTTTGTTGTATATTTCGTAATGGCAATACAATTGCATACATATTTGTAAAATGATTTCTACATATATTGCTAATTAATCACAGATTATATATTATATATAATATTCTTCATTTTGTTTCTTCCTCATTTTACTTGTAGGTGGTTGCTGCCGGTGCCGTGCCGCTCTTCCTTCAACTGCTTAACTCACCCGCTCCAAATGTTTGCGAACAAGCCGTTTGGGCGCTGGGCAATATCATTGGCGATGGTCCGTTGCTTCGTGACTTTGTTATTAAGCATGGCGTTGTGCAGCCACTGCTGTCGTTCATTAAGCCCGATATACCCATATCGTTTTTGCGTAATGTCACCTGGGTGATTGTGAATTTATGTCGAAACAAGGATCCGCCGCCACCAGCTGCCACAATACATGAAATCCTGCCCGCACTCAATGTGCTGATCCATCACACGGACACAAACATCCTGGTCGATACGGTCTGGGCCATTAGCTATTTGACCGATGGCGGAAACGATCAAATCCAAATGGTTATTGATAGCGGTGTAGTGCCAAAGCTGATACCGCTTCTGGGTAACAATGAAGTGAAGGTGCAGACAGCTGCTTTGCGTGCTGTGGGCAATATTGTCACCGGATCGGATGAACAGACACAGGTGGTGCTCAATTACGATGCTTTATCGTATTTCCCAGCGCTGCTGTCGCATCCCAAGGAAAAGATACGCAAAGAAGCTGTCTGGTTTCTATCAAACATTACCGCCGGCAACGAATCCCAGGTACAGGCTGTCATCAACGTTGGCCTGCTCCCGAAAATTATTGACAACCTGAGCAAGGGCGAATTCCAGACACAGAAAGAGGCAGCCTGGGCCATCAGTAATCTTACTATTAGCGGCAGACCCGAGCAGGTATTTACATTAATACAAGAAGGGGTCATACCGCCATTCTGCGATCTGCTCTCATGCCAGGACACTCAAGTGATCAATGTAAGATCTCGCATCTCTCAAAACTATAGATCATTTAGAAACTTTATTTTTATTATTTTTAAAGGTCGTGCTCGATGGTCTCAATAATATGCTCAAAGTGGCCGCATCACACGTTGAGGAGGTTGCTAATTTGATTGAGGAGTGCGAAGGCCTCGCGAAAATCGAGCGTCTGCAGAACCATGAGAACGTTGAAATCTACAAGTTGGCATACGAAATTATTGAGAAATACTTCACTGAGGTAGATGCTTTATTCATTCTTAGAACCATTTTTATATATATATATATATTAATTCATTTCCATCAATTGACACTTACAGGGCGAACAATCTAATCTGGCACCGGCTTCTGATGGCACAGAATACAGCTTCGATCCCAATACAGACAAAGTACCAATGAATCCATTCAACTTTTAATACCAATGCCTGATCAAAAACGTAAACAGAGATAACACACATCTAATTTGATGTATACCCAATTGGTATATATAGAGCATATAGCAATTCAATTTCGAACGATACTCTGTGCCCATTTACCATCTACACCAACAAACTCTGACAGCAAAAAAAAAATGAATTAATACACATTCTATATGACAGCTTGGTTACACACAGGCACAAAGCCTGAAATCGTTTCCGCAAAATAATTTTTTATAAATTTTTGGTTTTGCAACATACATATTTTATGTATGTATAAAAGAAAAGCATAAAGTGAAGCCGGGAAGAATTTCTTAAAGTTTGTCTGATGCATGTTGCGGTAGCTAAATCCTTTTAAGATTATTTATGTTTTCATTGAATTGATTAAGTTAAAATTTAAAACGTCACTTCCAAAAAGGTAAATTTATTTTTGAAAATCGGCTGCAAAGGCGCAAACGAAATATTGCATCTGCAAAAAATGTGCTAAATAATAAGCAAACACCAGAATAACATCAAATTAAATCAACAACAACAGAACACACAGGAATGATAAAAATTGTAGAACTATTTGATTTGTAATGAATAATTTTAATGACATGTACGCCTTTGATTTGTAATTGAAATTACATATACATTTCTAACATGAAAAACGATAAAAAGATAAAAAAAAATAAAATAAAAAATCACGTATTCTCTCGTTTTATTTACAATTGCAGGAAAAATCCAAACACCTTATGTGTAGGTTCTGGAAAAAAGGAAACACTTGTGTTTACTTCTCTGCAGCTCAAAGCTGGGCCAAAAAGCTAATCAGGTTACAGCTGTATATATGTATATATTAATATAAATACACACATAAATACGATATGCGTGCTGCGCAATAGACGCTCAAAAATTTAAATATTTTTTCACTTTACCCCACTGTGCTGAGAGTTGATTGCCTGAATTGTATGTATTGTGAATCGCGCGATATGTATGTATTCGTATTTAAATTTGATAGAAGCTGTGCGATACAAACACACATACATTCCGTTAGAGTGAACCAGTGGGTAGTTTGGTCATGAGCAGTGTTGGGTAATTGATGATACAGTCGGTTCGCCATCGATTTAAACCGCCTAAATGTTTTCTCAATGCCTTCAGTTTTCAGAGTGCTGAATTTTAATATTTAATGGCACAGTGGAAACGAATCTCTTCTCTTTGATATTTTTGTGCATAAAAGCCTTAATAATAATACCTAACCTGAACTTCAGCCATATAAAATTCGTCTGCATTAATAGTTTGTAAAATAAAAGTTTATTTTATATATTCAAGAATATTACATGGATGTGATCTTAAACAGACAAACAGATGTGTGCATTGCAATTGTCGCGTGATACACTCAGAGCAAGAAACGATATAACCTACATCTGTATTCCTATATTTAGCATCTTGTAAATGTATTTGTAGTTGTCTTGCGAATGCATTCGATTGCACTTTTAGATGCTTCCGTCAACATTACGCTGCGGAACTTGGCGGCACCATTTAGCGATTGCCAAGGCCAAGGACGTTGCGTTTTTCATATGCGTTGAGAGTAGACAGGCAATGTGAGAGAGAATTAGAGAGAATGAAAGAATCTAAAAGTGGATAGTAAAACCTGTTCGTTTTTGCTTTTGTAATTTGTAATTTTTAGAAAGTCGAAATATTCATGTAATAGCCCTCTCAGCTGAAATTCGTGTGTTGAGCATAAGTAGGTCTGCGCTCTCGCACCCCCTCACGCTCTCACAAGCATGCAGAACGGGAGAGAGAGAGAGAGAGAGAGAGAGCGTCAAGGTATGTTATGTATTTTAATGAAATTTACGCTTTTGTTATTCACGAACGCTGAATCAATTTAGTACGGTTGAAACTGTCTGTCCGTATACTAGTCACAGCTCGCGGCTGCAGTTGGTTTTATTGGATTTTGATTCTGCTTGTTAATTCGCCGTTTATTTCGCACAAACAAAATGTCATCGACATCAGCTCCCGCACCCGCACCGCCACCACCTCCACCAGCTGCTTCTGCGGCCGCTGGAAAGGGCATTCACACAAAGATATACAATGGCATGATTGGCGTCTGCGACAAATTTGTGCCAGCTAAAATGCGACCACTTTGGATGCATCCTGCAGGTGGGAATATACAAACGGAAATATATATTTTTTTGCATCCATATGTTAATGAAATTTACCACGTGTCGAATCTGTATTTACATTTGACTATTCGATAGGTCCAAAAACCGTTTTCTTTTGGGCACCAATAATTAAATGGGTAAGTAAACGATAACAGACAGATTGACAGACAGCCTGTTACATAATACAGACTGCATGACCTTCGCTATTTTTCATTATCTCTGTCTGCTGCTGATATAGCAAATCTGAATGACATTAATACAAAAAAATCTCGGAGAGTGTGCGAATTGCTTTTTATGAATATTTGTTTATACTGCCAGAGCAAAACTTGTTGAGTGTAATGTGTTTGTTGTTCCACGCAGCTGGTCGTTTAGAGAGCCAACACGCGATAAGTGAGCATTAGTGTGCGTGCGTGCGAATTATTATTGGGTTTCAAGTATTTATTTATATTACACTTGCAAACTCACACGCTATAATAACGATAACAGTAGCTAACGCTGTAATCGTAATGTCTAATGTTAAGTAACATAAATACTTTTATACTTTTATTATTTTAGTACCTGTCGACTATTTCGTATTTACATATAATACATAGATTGTTGCACGCGCTTTAATAATGATAACACTCTAATCACAACATCAAATCTAAATGAACATTAATATTCTTGCGTTTTCATTATGATTATCAACATTTTTATAGGGCCTTGTCATTGCTGGTTTAAGTGACTTGACTCGTCCGGCGGACACCATTTCCGTATCAGCTTGCGGTGCACTGGCTGCCACAGGCATTATCTGGTCCCGTTATTCGCTGGTTATTATACCCAAAAATTACAGTTTGTTTGCTGTCAATTTGTTTGTGGGACTGACGCAGATTGTACAGCTGGGACGCGCCTACAACTACCAATTAGAGCAGGAAAAACTGAACAAGGAGAAGGACGAGAAGCCAATTGTAGCTCAATAAACCATAGTACACATCTGCAAATTCCTGATGATGTGAACACGCACAACGTACATATGTCGCATATCGCACCACTGCGTTTTATATTAAGTTGTGCTTTAGTTTAAGCGACTGACCATTTTTTATTAGTCAGATATTGTTGCCTTACAAAACGTGATTCGTACTGCTTAAGTTTGTAAATGTTTGAGGCTTCAAGTATATTTTTAATTACACGTAATAGTTTAATAGAATTGTGATTTTTGTCATAAACACAAGCGAAAATAAATATAAACGTAAACATTCTCAAGACTTTTTAAACAACACAATGTAAATAATTATTTGAAATGATTTCAGCGCCCTTTTGTGGCCCGATATATATCGATAACAAATGAGTACTTTTGCTGGGGTGGGTGGCGAACATTCTTCACATCGCTGCCAACAGCTGTTTACACAAATTAAATATTTTCCACTTTATTGGCAAAATAAAAAATTAGTTTTAATCATGAATTTAATAAGTGGTATTAAATTGTATATTGAAAAGATGTGCACAGAGTCTGGACCAGGCATGAAAATTATATTGCTAGACAAAGAAACGGTATGTAATACCTCGAAAGGCTTTTTAAAGTTCTCACTGTTCACATTCACTTAATTTTTAGACGAGCATTATTTCAATGGCCTTTAGCCAATCTGATATGCTGCAACGTGAGGTGTATCTCTTTGAACGCCTGGATTCTGGCCGTTCGAACGAACGCTTAAAGTATCTGAAGTGCATTGTTTTCATACGGCCCACAAAGCAAAATATCCAACTGTTGGCAAACGAGCTGCGCAATCCCAAGTATAGCGCCTATTTTATATGTAAGTGTAACAGATGGTAAACACCCTTAAAAAGAATATACACTAATTGGTTTATGTAGATTTTAGCAATATCATACCGCGCACTGATATTAAATATCTGGCGGAATGCGATGAGTCAGAGTCTGTCCGTGAAGTAAAGGAATTGTATGCGGACTACCTGTGCGTTAATCCAAATTTATTCTCCCTGAACCTACCCAACTGCATGGCAAATCTTAACTGGCTGCCCGATTCATTGACACGCAGCGTACAGGGCATTACGGCTGTTCTACTGTCGCTCAAATTGAATCCGGTCATACGATATCGTGCCGGGTCGCAAGTGGCACAGCTTCTAGCCAAGTTGATCTACGATCAGACAACCAAAGAATCATCTCTATTCGATTTCCGCGGCAATGTTGATGGGGCTGCGCCACCCTTGCTGCTGTTGCTGGATCGCAGAGATGATCCAGTGACACCCTTGCTGCATCAATGGTCCTATCAAGCCATGGTGCACGAGCTGCTGAATATACGCAACAATCGCGTTGACTTGTCTGAGCGCCCCAATGTGCCCAAGGAGTTCAAGGAGCTGGTGCTCTCCGGTGACCAGGATGAGTTTTATGGCACCAATATGTATGCAAATTACGGTGAAATTGGCTCTACCATTAAACAGCTTATGGAGGAGTTTCAGCGCAAGGCGAATGATCACAAAAAAGTCGAGAGCATTAATGACATGAAGAACTTCATTGAATCCTATCCGCAGTTTAAAAAAATGTCTGGCACCGTACAAAAGCATTTATGCATCATGGGAGAACTGTCCAGTATTTCGAATAAGCGCAATCTTTTCGAGGTATCGGAGCTGGAGCAAGAGATAGCCTGTAAGGCCGAACACTCAGCACAGCTGCAGCGCATAAAAAAATTAATTGCCGACGAACGAGTCGACATCGATGATGCTGTCAAGCTGGTGGCATTGTATGCGCTGCGCTACGAACGGCATGCAAATTGCGATACATCTGGATTGCTGCAGATCATCAAGACACGTGGCGGTAATACACAGATTGTGCCCGCTTTGATTGAGTATGCGGGCACGCATGTGCGTCAGGGCGATCTATTTAATATGGTGCGCATCACAGATGCCGTGAAGTTGACAAGAATTCTGATCAAAGGTCTCAAAGGTGTGGAGAATGTGTTCACACAGCACACTCCACTGCTGAAAGAAACGCTGGAGGATGTGTTCAAAGGCCGTGAGCTCGATCCCATGTATCCAGCTATTAATTCAGAGCTGGTGCCATTTCGACGACCACCACAGGAGGTAGTAGTTTTTATCATTGGCGGTGCCACGTACGAAGAGGCCTTTGCCGTACATCAGCTGAACAATGCTGGATATCGGGTGATCCTTGGCGGCACCACCATACACAATTCCCAAAGCTTCATCAACGAAGTGCTGACGGCCACGAGTGGCACACAATTCAAACATACCAAATCCATGCTTAAGTATTGCTCCCCAGATAATCTTTAAGATACCCGATTCGGCTTATTCCATATGCATAATAATAATTGCTATTGTTAACTATTTATGTGTAATTTAAACAATTTATTATATATTGTTATGTAAAATATCTATGTGTACCATATTTTATTCATAAAGCGATTAATATAAATATATATTTATATCTTTTGACTACACTAATACAAATATTTATTTATAATTATAATAAGGTTTTTCGGAATGGCTTTTAGGTAATCTTAATAAAAAGTGCTAATATACACATTTAAGTAGAAAACCAGTTATGAATGCTAAAGCGTGAATGAAAAAGCACTGCTTAGATAAAAGTTTTATTTTAGATACAAGAAAATGGTTGGAAAAACCTCCATGACAACCGTAACACCGGTTACCCAATTCGTTTGCAACAAAAAATAATAAAAAGAATAACTCTTTTGAAATTAATTTCGGTATGTCCAGCCACTATTTCAACGAGATCTGGCATCAGGCGCAGCATGACTGTGAGCAATTGGCCATCCTCGACTATGAGCGACAGCATCAGAATGTGGATACAACAGTGGCTACCATCAGTGGAGTCACGGGCATTGTGTCCAGCTCTGTGGCAGCTGCAGCCGAATCCAAGAGCCTGCTGCAGGCGAGCATCTATGAATTCTATTTGCGATACATATGCCTGTGCAATAGATTGGAGGAGGTCTACGACAATGTAAGAAAATCAAAATATAGATCAGTTCTACTTCTTATAACATCTTTTGTCTCCTTCCCAGATGATTCAACCACAAAAACGAGAGCTAGTGCGCAAGCTGCTGGACGCCTGCTTGGGACGTGTGGTGGAGCTGAAGCATGACTTGGTGAACATTGATCTTATGGAGTTCAGCTACAACGATGAGGTAGTGGAGCGTCTGCGTCTGACGCCCATGGAAACAGAGCTGCGTATTCCACGTTACTTTCTGCGCGAGCGTGAGGAAGAGCTAGAACAGCGTAAGCGTACGATGCACGAGCTACTGATTAAACTGGGCTGGCTAGAGGAGCATCCACTAGAGGAGCAACTCACCGAGATTGAGGCCATAAGGCTGCTGCAGATGCACGAGCGCGCCCGCCAGGGTCGTCTTCGAGCCCACTTCATGAAGGAAATTAGAAAGGAAAAGGGCAAATCGGAGGATCGCACTGATAAAGAACGCACGGACTCCGGCTTAATGGCTGCCATGAAGATACAGAAAATGTGGCGCGGTCATACGGCTCGTCGCATCACGCGGCGTCGTAAGATGGACGAGATGATATTAATTGGCATGGTGCCGCCACCGGCTTCGGTGCTCAAAGAACGTGCCGAAAAATATGAACGGAACATCGAGACGGACGTTCGGCGAAGGTATGAGGCACAACGAGCCTACGCGGCGCAGTTTGAAGCACGCCAGTTGGCTATACAGGAGGAGATTAAACAGAAGCATGGTGCCACTATAAAGGAGGACATTGCCGATGAGATTCGGGCCTGGATCAAGGATTGCTATGACAAGACGGGCAAGCTGCCTGATTTTCCTTCCGAGGATCAGGGTGGCTCCCTGCACATCTTCAGTCGCCCGGGCACCGAGAGCGAACACAGTCGCTCTTCCGCGCGCTCCTCCAAAGAATCGCGTAAGACGAAGGATAAGTCCAAGTCGCCAGCACGCAGTGGAGACTTGAATGTTAACGATAATCAGGAAGAGGATATCAACTTCCAACCGGCTGCTTCAACTTGCCTTCCCGATATACGTGCCGAAATTGAATAGTATGTGTTTCCTAGTTTCCAGGATTATTTGATTTATTGATTGACCGTTCCTTCGCAGCTTTAACGATACCTGGCGTGACAAGGATGAGACTGGAGTACTCAGCCAGGCAGCCTACGAGGACATGATTTATGCGGAAAAGTATCAGGAGGTGGAGCTGGAATTCCGACGTGCCGTAGACGATGTAATGCGCCAGGAGCTGGAGCTTCTGCAAACGATGGTTGGAAAAAAGGTGAAGAAGAGTAATAAAAAGACACGACGTTCGGGCAAAAAGAGCAAAAAGAAGAAGGAAAAGGATCTGACGCCAGATCGCACTATTGAATCTCTTTACGAGGAGCTGGTTACCAATGGCATCATACGCAAATATCCAGAAATCAAATTAAAGCAATTTCTGGGCGACAAGGCGTTGACCGCACGCAATGGAACTAATCCCTCGCCGGGTGATATCCGCCAGGTGCTCACCGAATATTGCATTCTGCCGCTCGGCTCAGAGGCCATACACAATTGCACGCCACTCATACGCTCCGTACTGCTGGCCGGTCCGCGCGGATCGGGCAAGAAGGCGCTGCTGCATGCCATTTGTACGGAAGTTGGCGCCGTTCTCTTTGATCTTACGCCAGCCAACATTGTTGGCAAGTATCCAGGTAAATCGGGTCTCATCATGTTGATACACCTGGTACTCAAGGTGTCCAGATTGCTGCAACCAGCTGTCATTTATATGGGCGATGCAGAGCGTCCGTTTATGAAGAAAATACCCAAAACAGATCGCACAGATCCCAAGCGCTTGAAAAAGGATTTACCAAAGATGATCAAGAATATTGCACCCGAGGATCGGGTCATATTTGTGGGCACCACAAGTTTGCCCTGGGAGGCGGATCAGAAACTACTGCAATCAGTCTACAATCGTTTCATCTACATTCCACGTCCCGATTATGGCGCCATGTCGCATGCCTGGAAAACGCTTTTACAGTAAGCAATCCCCTTGATCCATTTTATTATGGCTGTTTCATAATACAAATGTTTTTCAGTGAGTATTCTGGAGGCATCTCCACTTTAGATACGAGCGCTATGGCCAAAATATCGGATGGCTATACCATTGGGGCGATTGATGCCTGTCTGCGTGAGGTGATGAGCTGCAAGCGCAAGCTTCAGTTACGATCGCAGCCTCTAACAAATGCAGAGCTCATTAACGTTCTTTGGTGGGTATAAATATATAGATCTAATTACCCTATATTAATGCTTATATATTCATTTCAGTTCTCGTGATCCCGTCTATCGCGAGGAAGAGGAGGCGTTCGAATCGTGGTGGTCGAAAACCCCATTGGGTCGACGTCGTCAACGCTTTTTGGAACTCGAGGAAGAACGCCTGATGGAGGAACAGGCTCAGCAGGCCAAACAAGGCAACGGCAACAAAAAGAAAGGCCTGAGTTAAGCCTTTAAATAACAATTTGAGTTTTCATTACTATTTTAGCTTATAAATAAAATCCTTATTCCCGCATTTGCAGCGTAGCTCATGTACTGAAAGTTTAAGTGTCTCATGATCCTCGAGAAGTTGCTGCAGCTCCTGCAGCTTTTCTTGCAACATCGCCTTTTGATCGCCCAAACACCAAAGCAAACTCACATGAAATGAGGGATTCTTATAAAATTGCTCCAGGCGATAATCACGCATAACCGAATCCACACAATGCAACAGCCCCGACATTTTCGTCGTATATGCGGCATCGAGCTGCACGGCCAAAAATGTCCTTGTGCGTTCCTCATTTGTGTAGACTTCCAGCTGGAATTTCAGTCATTATATATTACAATATAAATAAAAAGTAGTGGGACTTTTACAAACCGAATTCAGCGTGCTGTTGAACCTGCAGAAAAATAAATATAAGCTTTTTGGCACGAGTAGAATAACAAATTTAATAAACACATACCCAACACAGCTGTGGAGCGCGTGCTGTAACGATCGCTGAAACTCATCAATTTGATGGTATTGTAACACCACAGTTTTGCTTAAACTCAAATGCAGTGATTCATTGGGCTGCAGCTCAAGATGTGGCGCTAGCGTTTCAATAGCTTCCCGTTGAAAATCTTCCAGCTGTTCAGCACAGGCAAGGGCGGGTACATAAACAAATGTTGCCCAATTGCCGCGTTCGTGCTTAAAGCTCCGTATGCGTCCGCCATGTAACGTCGGATTGTCAAAATCATCCTGTTCATCATCGCTGGCAGGTTTAGCTATCTTGGCGCCCAACAAGGAGGCAGCTGTGGGTAAAGCCGATCTAATGGATTTTAAATATAAATTGCATGGTATAAACCATCTGTGACATTACCTCTTCAAGTTAACTGATCCATGAGCTATTATTTCTGGTTCCTCGTTCTCAGAGCTGGAACTGCTGCCATAATCCACTAGAGCCATATTACCGATAATATATTTTTAACAAATTCGCTACTTTTTCATTAAAATAAAGGTGTGACCATTTGGCGAACAACATAATCGATTTTTTCTACACAGCACGCACGATACCTGTTGAGCAACTTAATTCAAGCTTTTATAGACTTTAAAGGATTTTATTTTTCAATACCTCCTGCATATATGCGCTAAATCTTTGCAATTTGAATTTCCCAATTCTTGCATTGTGATGGTATTTTTATGTCGAAATTGGGTATTTTGAAAATTTTGTAAACACGTTCACACCGGCGCAGAGTGTGTCAATCAAAAGTCTCTCTACAATTCGTCCGGCACATTTCGACACATCTATTTATTTTTGATTAATATTCCTAAACAATGCAACTGCATGCGAATCGCTGAATAGACGATAACAAAGTTAAACCATCAATAAAAATAACAAATAAAGCAGAAAATGCAGCTGGGCTCCAAGCTACACGTTTACAAAGGCGAATGGGGGCTGCCGTCCATAGATTTCGAATGTATGCGTGCTTTGGTAAGTTCCGTTGCATCATAATCAGCAACTCCTCGCTATCGGCCATATGAATACATACTTGTATAAATAAATATTAAAATTCCGATTTTTTATATAAAATACACATGTTAATTAATTGTCATTTTGTTGAAAATTTTTAGTGTTTACTCCGATTTACCCGCTGCCCCATGGAAATCGAAACAAACACGAATCCTTTGCGTTCAGGGGCTGGGAAACTACCGTATCTTCAAATTGGCAATGATAAATTTCATGGCTATAAAGATATCAAACGAATACTGGATCTTGAGGTGAATATATATAAATAAGCCGGGTCAATAAACCAGTTGGCTATTTATAGCACATGTGATTGCTTGGCATGTACGCCAATTGAGCGCGAAATTAATGTATGTATGTTTTGGTCTTTCAGGGTTATCCGGTTGATGCGCATTTAAATACGAAACAAAAACATCTCTCCATTACATACTCGAATTGGGTCTTCACACAACTTCATGCCTACTATCATTATTACTTGTACGGTGAGCCGAACAACTATGATACGACCACTCGTGGCCTGTACGCAAAGCGGACACCATTCCCATTCAATTTCTACTACCCTTCAACGTATCAGCGGGAGGCGTGCGATGTGGTGCAGGTGCTCGGAGGCTTTGATATAAATGATAAGCTGGAAAAGCACGAGGGTGACTATGTAAGCGAATACTGGCATCTATATAAATTAAAAGCCTGTTGCCTTATTGACTCGGTTTTCATTAATTCTTTAACTTGTTGCGTCATATGAATTTGTGTTTCTAATGTACTTAAATGCCATCATTCATGAGTGATTTATTACTTCATCTTTTAACCATCACAATTGAGCTGTAGAATACAGAAAGTCTTGTGATTATAAAAAAGATACTGTTATATTGTTTATATTCTTCAACTGTCTAATCCTTAAATTTCTTATTTTCTCTTCAGCTTGCAGCAAATGCCAAAAAATGTGTGAATTTACTTTCTCGCAAATTGGGACGAAAAGTTTGGTTTTTTGGGGATACGTACAGCGAATTGGATGCCGTTGTTTATAGTTATTTAGCAATAATCTACCATATAACACTGCCCAATAATCCACTACAAAATCACATAAAAGGCTGTCAAAATTTAGTGAATTTCATTAAGCGAATCACCAAGGATATATTCCGGAATGAATGCTATAGTTCCATCAAAATGACAAAAGCACCCAGCCAATCGGATTCAATGCTAACGCCATCAGAGCGTAAATTCATGGAGACGGATCTCAATACAAAGATATTCGCTGGAGTTGGCGCCGTATTGGCAATGGGTGCCTTTGCAGCATGGCGAGGCATTTACACCCAGGTAAGAAGGATTTCTAAAAAAGTTCTCATTATTTTATCATAAGGAAGTTACGCTTGGCTTGTAAACGAGGGAATAATCAAAAAATAAATAGATCAAAATTGTATAATTTATGTGCTAAAAAAATTCTAAGGTAACTTAAAGTAAATAATAATTTGTCCGTAATTCATATCATTTACTTCATAAGCTTCGGAAAAAGTTTTGTTTGACCTCCAAACGAAGGCTCAATCAAAATATAAATATGTCAAAAAATTACATAAAATTTTTTAAGGTAATTTTAAGTAACGTTTGGAAATATTTGACTTTAATTATTGATTGGCTTTTTAATTTTGATTGCAGTTAACACGTTCGTCAACGGACTACGACGGCATCGACTACGAGGACGACGATATGGATGAGGTGTTGGATTAGTTACAGCTCTGTACAGATGTAGTTCTAACAATCGATGTATATTTATATTAACAACATAGGAAAAAGAGTGAAATCTAAAAGCACAGCAGTAATTTTTCCATAAGAAAATCGTTTAAAAAAGAAAAAAAAAAATAGAAAATCCTACATATTTATGTACATACGATTCGAAGCTATATAAATTATTAATGCGCCGTAAGCTATTTGTCATTGTTTTTAAAACTATTTACCTATATGAAATTGTATGTTAAAAAAGGAAACACTACAATCAGCAACCAAAGCGTAATAAAACGTACAACTGATGCTGACAAATTTTAATTCAATTGTTATTTTGATCTAGTATATACGAGTATATAAAAAATAACTCCCATTTGATATGTGTGTTTTTGCTTGACTATACGAATCTTTTATTAAAAAACTAAACTTAGTATTAAAATAGTTTTAATATTAAAAAAATTGGTTTCTTTTTTTTTCAGAGGATATCAATTTAGACAGAAATCAAACAATTGGTGAAAATAATATATATATAGTTATTATAGTATATGAGCGATAATGGAATATCTCTAAATGAATGGTCCCGCTCCATTGGCATATTCATGTCTTGAGCGCATCCTGGAGTTTTTTTCGTGCCACTCCCACGCGATCCTCCTGCTTTCGAATATCGTCTTCGGAGATGATTACTGCATGCATTAGAGGCTGTTCGGGATTCATGAATGCCATGGCGTTCTTCGCTAGATCTGCCTTTGTCGAGCTCTGGCCATGTACGCCGGCATTGAGCATGTGCAAGGCTGTGGCCACCGACTGCAATACGGTCTGTTCGTTGACATTGGGGCCAACGGTGCGTATGGTTTTTGGCAGTGATATATCTTCAAGCTCTTCACCGTTATCATGACAGGCCCGCAAGCGCTCCAAGCGCTTCTCCCAGAACAGCTGCTTTGGCTTCTCCTGCCCGCCGTGTTTGACGTCGTGCTTCACTTTGCTCGGCTCATGATTGCGGATAACCGTCACCGGCTGTTTGAAAATTGAAGCTGTCTGTCGAATCGGTGGCACCAGGGAGACATCTGTGCGCAAATTGCGGCTGTAAAAGGGAGACAATTAGATTATATACGGCTTTATAGAGGGCACAAGGAAAGTAATGTGAAAGAACATGCAGAATATTACAGAATTGTAGAGCAATTAACTAAGAAAAAAATTACAAAATTAGTGCAATTATTATTTACAAATTGGCCAATCGATTGATTTGCATTATATAGAATGGTTAGTGGCGAAAAAATTGATGTAGACAGGCGCATGCAAGAGCTCGCTCAGCCAAGGACAATCAACTTGGCTCTACCTGAATTCAAATTGTTGTTGCTGTTGTTGTTGTTGCTGCTGCTGCTGTTGCTGCTGCTGGCGTAAATTAGTTGCCGTCGCTGCGATTATCGATGGCACTGCTGTTATCGATGCTGCAATTCCCCCACTGTTGATGTTGGACGCGGAGCCTTGCGTTTGAGCTCGGCTATATTTACGCTTTAGAGCATTAGCAGGGTTTACGCCTGGGCTAGCGTTGCCGATAATGGCGCCCGCTGCATTGCAGCGGTACAACGATATGGATGGCGAGGGCATTTGTCGTTGTGTTTGCATTTTGCCAGTTTGAAAATCAAAATTGCTGATGTCAAACATTTCGGTATTCAATTGGCGTGCTAATTGTGGTTTACTCTCAATTCGCTTGCCTGTCGGGCTGTGCACATCCAATAGATGAACGGTTCAGGAACGCAAAGTATGAGGGTGGGAAATTTCGTGTGTGCGTATGTGTATATGTTTTTATGTGCAAGTGTGTGTGTGGGAGTGTGTTGGTGTGTGGCAAATGTAATAACAAAAAGAGAGTAGTGAGAGTGAGTTAAACGTATTCGTTATCGCACGTGCAGTCACTTTATGTTTTTGTGTTTATATTACAATTTACGTTAGTTGCCAGGCTCCACCTTCACCGTGTACCTGCTTAACTAGCAGCCAAGTAATATGCTTGGTTACCTGTAGTAGAACACATCAACTCCCGTGTTGCAACCAGATTTCTTATGCACTTCTTCGCGCTGCCAGCCCTTTGGTAGTGCGTTGCAATCAACGCGTTTTCTTTCAATTGTAATGTTCGGATTCATTTGCATGCTCCTAAATATTTTCCTTTTTGTTTATTTTTCTTACATTTGTTGGAAGCAGCGTCTCATTCGATACTTTAGCAAAACGATATAAGTACTAGCAAGAATAATTCGTGAAAGAAGATTCACTCCATGCAATAAGTTATGCCTATGACGTCACATTTGCATATGTTTATGTACGCTAAGATGATTGAGACCAATACATATTTTACATTCCTTCTAAAAGTAATACTATATGGCCAATTTTATAAAATAGTTTTTGTAGAAAAAGTAAATAAACGTAATGTTTTCAACAGCAACCATTTATACATGATTTGTGTACTCTTATACTAATTTTTTAAACATCAGTGTTGGATAATGCTTCAATAACATTGACAATGCGAATGAGCGAAAGAAGAAGAAGCACGAGTCGACGACGTAAGTAATTTTCGTGTGACTAAACTTTAATTCCACTGGCGTGGTTGAACGATTATTACACATTTATTATTCGAACAATGTAATATTGAACTATACAAAATGGTTGCAAGCTATTCCAATATGTCGTCAACATATTTGCAGGCTCACAAACAGAACAGATTGACAGTCACCGTTTTCGCTTTTGGGACAACAAGAACAAGTGGCAGCTGGAAGTTTAGGCCAATAAACTAAAAAGGGGAAAGTAAATACAAAGGAAAATGTCTTCATCAGCCATATTTGTGCTGGACGTGAAGGGGAAGGTGTTAATATCCCGCAATTATCGCGGCGACAATATTGACATGGCTGTAATCGATAAGTTCATGCCGCTGCTCATGGAACGTGAAGAAGAAGGTCTCGTCACGCCCATTCTGCAGACCTCCGAGACCACCTTTGCCTATATTAAGACAAATAACTTGTACATTGTGTCCACGACGCCGCGCAATAAGAATGTAAATATTGCGCTCGTTTTCGTATTCCTGCACAAAATCGCACAGGTGTTTGTGGAGTATTTCAAAGAGTTGGAGGAGGAGTCCATTCGCGATAATTTCGTTATAATATACGAGCTGCTTGACGAACTCATCGATTTCGGCTATCCCCAGACAACGGATTCGAAAATACTGCAGGAGTATATCACGCAAGAGGGTCACAAGTTGGAATTGCAACCACGCATACCCGTTGCCGTAACGAATGCAGTGTCCTGGCGCTCTGAGGGTATTAAATATCGCAAAAATGAGGTATTTCTGGATGTCATCGAGTCGGTCAATTTGCTGGCAAATGCCAATGGCAATGTGCTGCGTAGCGAAATTGTGGGCGCCATCAAAATGCGCGTCTATCTGTCCGGTATGCCGGAGCTTCGTTTGGGACTCAACGACAAGGTGCTCTTCGAGAGCACCGGACGTGGCAAATCCAAGTCCGTTGAGCTGGAAGATGTCAAGTTCCATCAGTGTGTGCGTCTTTCCCGCTTCGAAAACGATCGCACAATCTCGTTCATACCACCGGATGGCGAGTTTGAGCTGATGTCATATCGCCTAAACACGCATGTGAGTGGAATAAATAATCCTCATCTTTCAGAACCTTCATATATAATGTGTCATTCCACATCAGGTCAAACCACTGATATGGATAGAATCGGTTATCGAGCGACACGCCCATTCGCGTGTGGAGTATATGATTAAGGCAAAATCGCAATTCAAGCGCCGCTCGACGGCCAACAATGTGGAAATTGTAATACCTGTGCCCGCCGATGCGGATTCGCCCAAGTTCAAGACCACCATTGGCAGCTGCAAATACGCCCCGGAGCAGAATGCCATCATATGGACAATTAAATCGTTTCCAGGCGGCAAGGAGTATCTAATGCGTGCCCACTTTGGCCTGCCCAGCGTGGAGAGCGAGGACAACACTGAGGGTAAACCACCCATACAGGTGCGCTTCGAGATTCCCTACTTTACCACGTCGGGCATACAGGTGCGTTATCTGAAGATCATTGAGAAGAGCGGCTACCAGGCGTTGCCCTGGGTCCGTTATATCACCCAGAACGGTGACTATCAGCTGCGCACCAACTAAGCCACGGCCACACACGATCACACACACACGCGCGCGCATTCCAGCCAAGCTTAAGCGAACATCTCTCTTGTTGCGTCTTATATTTTAGTAAGGAGTATGTTAGTTAGCTGCCTCACCTTCACACTGTGCGTTAAGTCGAAAGTATATATATATTTAAATTGAAAATGGTATTCCTGCAAAAGGAAAATCGTTCTAAAGCTGATATCTAAGCTTTAAATTAATTTAGATTCTAGTCGGCCTAAGGCATGGCTACAAAATTCTACACAAATTAAAATTTATATTGGAAATTCAAAATCTGTAAAGCAGTGATGTTATAATTGATTCACCACGGTTACCGCTCAGCGAATTTTAAATAACTATAATATTTAATATTTTCCGAGTGTTGCGCATTGTTTAAAATCCTTGTGAGAATCGATCTTAGCTAATTTTTGCACAACACTAATTCGCATCCAATAAACTTCAGCTTGATCCTTTGCAGGAATACCCTTAACTATAATGTATTGTTTTATTTCTGCGTATTGTATTGTATTTTTTATGTAAATCAAACTAATAAATTTTTAAAAACATTTTCAAATGTAACGACACTCGACTTAATCTGTGCCACAAAATATATTACAAAATGTTTTTAATTTCTTGTTGGCCCCTTAATAACCCGAATTATTTAAGTTTCGTCTACGTATTTAGCAACAAATTTCAGATGGTTTGGAACCATTCAAAACAAAACACAAGATTGCTTAAGCTTAATAAATGCACTTTTCGATGAGTCTCTCCGTTAAAGATTTGTAGGATTTCAGTTTCGTTCAGTTTTGTCGATTCGCCCTCTATTGCTTGAAGCTTTTCAAGGGATAGTGTTGTTTGTGGGCCTCCACATGTTGCTCCAGCTCGCGCTGTTGCTCCAGCAGATGCTTGGGCATGTCGGCATAGACGCCCTCGAACATCTCACGCCAATTGGGTTTTAGTTTCTTTTCGGAAATGGCGATCTGTTTGAGCACCTGCTTGCGCACTCCGCTCACAAATTCCGTTTCCTCTTTCTCGTTGAACCAGCCTTTGTGCACCATATAGCTCTTCAACTTGGAGATAGGATGCTCCAGCGTGTTCCACATTTCAATCTCCTCCGCCGAGCGATACGCCGTACTGTCATCTGACGTCGAATGATGACTGACCCGGTAGGCCAGGGCCTCAAGCACAACTGGTTTATTCTCTCGCAGAACATATTCCCGAGCTCGCTTCATCGCATTGTAGACGGCAAACACATCTGTACCATCCACACGGACGGTAGCTATGCCATAGCCCATGGGACCACGTCCAGCAATGCCATCGCCTCGGTATTGTTCATTCGACGGCGTGGAGATGGCGAAGCCATTGTTACGACTAAAACAAGAAATTGAATTGAAGATAATATTCCAAAATAATTATAGTTTAGAGTATACTCCTCTGCTACATACCAAAAGAAAATCACTGGACACTCGAGCGTGGCAGCGAAATTGAATGCTGCATGGGCATCACCCTCGGATGCAGCTCCTTCGCCAAAGTAGCAAACAACGCAGGAGTCGTTGTTCGGCTTACGTTTTAGAGCATAGGCGGCGCCTACAGCTTGTGGTATCTGTGTGGCTAGGTAGAGAGGAGAAAGGAATTAGTACGTGGATAACATTTATAATACAAGCTTCTTACACAATGGACTGGAGATGGTGACAAAGTTAAGCTCTTTGGAGCCATAGTGCACGGGCATCTGCTTGCCGCGACCCAGATCATCGTCGTTGCCATAGCACTGATCGATGAACTGATCAATGCGGAAGCCGCGCCAGACCAGGACACCTGCCTCTCGGTACTGGCCATAGATCACGTCACGCATTTCAAGGGCGGCAGCGCTTCCGATGTGCGAGGCCTCCTCGCCAAAATTGGTCATGTAGAACGAGATGCGCCCCTGTCGCTGTGACTCATATAATATTTTGTCCATGGTGGACAGCAGCAGCATATCACGAAACATTTTCTCAACTATCTCCTGGCTCAGTTGGGGATCCTCTTGCTCGTTGAGTACGTAGCCATCGCGATCCATGACTCGATAGATTGGTATGGGTGCATAATCTTCTGGCATTGTCAGTTTCAGATTGTTTACAAATGATGCATCACGTGCACCTGGAAAAGCGTAACGATCGTCCACTGTCTTTACACCGGCACTGTAGCTGCGTTGTACGCCCGAAAGCTAACAATGAAAATAGTTAATTTCACTCTATTGTGAACTCCAGGAATACTAACCATTCTGGTATTTTGCTTTGCAGCATTGAAAAGTTGAACGGATTTGCGGAGGAATGACATATTTACAAATGAACAGTGGAAAGGATAACTGCAACAGGACAAGGTAGAAGTAAATGGTTGTATTTACTTATTTATATTTGGTTCCGCTCTGTTCTGTTGCTGCCTTGTGCTCCAAATCAGCTGCGTTACGCAACAGGTAAACTGAGCCATGTACGCAGCACATAACCCTTGGTCGCAAAAGTCCCGTGAGCAAAATATTTAAAAAATATGTATATTGAATAGAATATTTATTCAATGTAATCTACTAATTCATGATTATTGAATATTATTATATATTTATTGAATTATTATAATTATTTTGTTTTCTTTATTTTTGTAAATGATCAATTTAAGCAAATGAATATTATAAGTTTATTTATTTCTGTATTAGCATACTAGTCTGTCAGTGTTAGTTAACGCTTAAAAATGGCAGCTGTGCAGCTTAACGAGACGCAATTCTGGCAGTCCATAGCAATATTAATAAGAAACTATCATGCCTTGAATAAAAAAATATTCGAAGTGCTTATAACGGAGGTACAAAAACTGCAGCTGGGAAAACTCTATGAGTCCAATGAGGCTGAGCTGGAGCAACAGCTGTTGCAAAGCAATGGCAATGCGAGAACATGCGAGGGTTTTAGGATTAGCTATAAAATGTTGACCAAAAAACTGTCCTCAAATATTTTGGCCAATGGAATTGTGGGTATGTAAGCTTGAAATTAATATCCTATTAATATCATATTATTCAAAATTAGTTTTAATTATAGATTTTAGCAAGCAGAGCTATGAATGCCATTTCGTAGCGGACTCGGAATTCGATGACTTTGTCGTGCAACTAATCGATGGACAACTGAAAGCGGAGCCGCTGGCAAAGGATCCAGGCGTAGAGTGTGAGCAAGCCGCACGCTGGGCGTACTTTGTGTTGAAGCCAAAGCTGTGCAGCTGGGCACAGAGTCGGTTAGACAAAAATGTGCAGAAATCGCTAAGACTATTGGATGTGGAAATGTACTGCGAGCTCTACAAAAAGTTGAAACAGAAGCATGCGCAACGTCTGCTGCAATACTGGCAGACGGCGAATGAATCAACGGATCCGTTAAAGTTCATTTACGAGGATTTGGCTATTGCTGCTTACCTAATCACGCTTTGGGACTGCACGCAATCGCAGCCGACAGCATTCGCTGACCTCGGCTGTGGGAATGGCCTACTGGTCCATGTGCTCAATGCGGAAGGGTATAAAGGCTACGGTTACGATGTGCGGCGGCGTAAACTGTGGTCCCTCTATCCGGAGCCAACGAGTTCTCAGCTAATTGAACAAACTGTTGTGCCGAACAGTTTTCGGCTAAATTATCCAGACATTGACTGGCTCATTGGCAACCACTCTGACGAACTGTCACCCTGGCTGCCCGTCTTGGCGGCTCGACTGAAAACCAGTTTTTTCTTACTGCCCTGCTGTCCGTTTGAGCTATCCGGTGCCAAGTTCCAGCGGCGCAATACTAGCATCAGTGCCTATCAGGATTTTATGCTCTACGCACACCAATTGTCCGATCTGTGTGGCTTTGAAACTCAGCAGGATCGCCTTAAAATCCCAAGCACCAAGCGCTTGTCTTTGATTGGCTTGAAGCAGACGGCGAAGCCCGTTCAGGAACTGGAATTTTTCGTACAGCAAGAGCTTCAAAAGCATAGAGCGGGAAGCATGGATAATTCGGTGAAGCTTCGCGAGAAAGCGGAGAGTGTGAGGAACTGCACTCAGGTGGAAAAGAGCATAATCGATTCATTAGTACTGAAGATCTTTAACATGTTGTTATCCAATACTAAGACAACTAATGGCAATGATGCGGGTAACAAATGGCTGCCTGGACAGCAGCTGACAATGCGTGATATAGCCCAAGGGCTGACCAAACCAGAGTTAACCGGTATCAAGTCCGAATGCGGCGGCATTAAAACGCTACTCCGTAACAAGCACGAAGTTTTTGAGTTTTGCGGCGATGATCGAATCGGCATACGAAAACCCAAAGCTGCCGACAAGACTGGAAAATTGTTGACAATCAAAAAACGACCCTGCTTCTTTAAGCTACACCATCCACAGGGTTGTCCACTGGAGGATGGAGAGTGCTCTTTTATACATTAGGTGTATAAATATATAAGCTTAAATCGACATACAATTTATGAATAATACAAAAAAATACATATTTATTTTGGGATATTTTGTCGAAATTAATTTTTACAATTGGGCATAGCATCATTTAAAAAATTGTTTTGCATTTAGTTTGCTTTTTTGATTTATTTCATGTCTACATTTAAATAATTGTTTCGGATTATGAATAGATTTTAATTTATGGGCATTTGTTGTTCTTCCCTAATGGTTTACCCATTAAAAGGAAACTTTTATTTCTTTCTTGTCAATTCGCTTTAACGGGAACTATCGGAACTATTGCTACGACGACGGCGGCGAATGGGTGAACGGGAACGACGACGCGGCGAACGCCGGCCCCTAGGTGGTGAATTGCGCCGTCCACCACCTCCACCTCCACCGCCTCCGCGGTTATTGAAGCGATTAAACTGCGGCGGGGAACGCCAACGTCCGCCCTGTGGACGACGCATCTGTGGCGACGGACGTCGCATGGGCGGTCGCTGCTTGGGGACAATTACTGGCGATACTGTTATCTCCTGGCCATCGATTTGCCCGCCATCCATGTGCTTCATGGCCGACTCGCAGTCCTCAGCCGTTGCATACTCGACATAAGCCATGCCGCGTCCAAAATTGGGATGATAGCGATCCGTTGGGAATTCCACATTCTTGATTGTGCCAAAGCTACTAAAGATCTCCATGACATGATCTTTGGTGACATTCCGGGTGAGTCGCCCAACATGGATACGCACTGGCTTTGGCGTAGGTGAGCGTGAGCGGGTGCGGCTGCGACTGCGAGAGCGTTCGCGGCGCTTTGGCGGCGGTGTGCGATCGACAGTGCCACGCCCACCGCCACGGCGGCGGGGCGATCGTGAGCGACTGGCTGACCGTGAACGCTCACGTTTCACGTTATTCACCTCGCCACCTCCTGCTGCGCCGCTACGATCATTGGAAGTGCGGCGTGCACGATCTCTTGAACGAGTGCGACTACGCTGAACGCGATCACGATCCCGTTCACGTTCCGATTCCTTACGCACCTTGCTATTGGGACGCGGCGATTTGGTAGTTCTGCGCGGCGAACGAGAATTATCCTTCCCGCCTGCTGCACTACCGCTGGTTCCGCCTCCACGACGTCTTGTTTTCTCGCTGCGATCCGAGTCGCTCGACGATGAGGAAGAGGTACTGGACGAATCGCTTGAGCTGCTCGAGCTAGAACGTGAATTAGAGCCCGAGCTGCTGCGTGACGACGAGCTGCCCGATGAGCTTTATGAATGGAAATACATACAGGTTAACCAGCCGGCAATGAAAAAAAATATGTAATATAAATATGCACCTTCTGCTGGAGTCGCTACTAGAGGAAGCGGAGCCCCGGCGCTTGCGTTCCCGCTCTCTGCGCGACGAATTGGATGTAGCGGCTTTTGCGTCCTTCTCTTTAACATCTTTCTCTTTATTTTCTTTTTCACCCTCGGCGGTTGGAGACCGGGCACGCGCCCTAATTGGGGGAAAATATGTCGGTCATGAAATAACCCGAGGAAATGTCACTTATACTTACATTTTGCTCTTGAAATTTAATATTATTGATTATCCACTGATAACTTGTCCAATTGTGAATAATATGCTTGCTAAAACCGAACTTTTAAAACACGAAAATATCAAGTTAAACATTCAATGGCGTTCCTGTCGATGTATTTGTTATTTTCCGATTCTATATATCGATGCCTGCTGTAAAACCGACGCACAGTCGCATTTTATAGACATTCTACTCACTCGATATATATTACGTGCAACATTGGTAAAGTAATCGTTAATATAGACAGTGTGACCGGTTTAGATGAGTAAAAAAAACATACATTCATACATCTACAGCTCTTTTGTCAGGTCGAGAGTCGCGCAGAGGTAAACTCCCATAAAAAAAAATTCAGATACATTTAATATAAAGTGCAATTTGTTATTTAAAGTAGCATATTTGTTAAGCTTTTGTCTAATACAAATTGTGCTTTTCAACGTTTACGCATATACGTAGTGAAATTATATAAAACGCAATTGTTTAATGCCAGTTTTTATTTGTATGGTGACGAAGTGGTTGTCATTGTGGATTCATATATATATAAATGTGCGTATGTATGTGTGTTTTTAAATGAATGTGTACACACACACTCTTACTGGCACACACATTCAGTAGAAAATATGTGAACTTGTGTTGATTTTAAGTGAGCTACAACCAAAGGGGAGCGGTTCGAAGTCACTGTAGGGCACAGAGTTTCGATTTTTTACCCATATCTATGTATACTCACAACGCATTTACAATTGATACGTTTTGACTCCCCACACACAAAGCAAGAGACAGAGAGAGAAATAAAGAGAAAGAGAGGCACAGAAATGGTGAGAGTTTAAGCGAGCGAACGAACAGGGAGCAAATAAATGGTCTGTCTGAACATTTTACCACACTACCTCTTTGTCTGTTCAAGCGAGTTCTCGTGCTGGTATTTTACTCGCTCGCGTCGATGTGTAAAATTATTTATTTTTTTTTCTCCTGGTTTGATTTTGCAATCGTTTGTGTCAGTGGTGGTTGTGTAGCTCTGTTCGGCTGCGCGTTATTGTGAATATTGTTAATGTACAAATATATGCAATAATATTATGGAACACAAATATCTGTATGTGCAGTTAACAAAAGTCAGGCATACATTTCTATAGTATACATACATATATTCATATAATCGATGTGCGTATGCGTGTGTCTTAAAAAGAGCAATCGTCGTTGAAGTTCGACTACCATGACTACGCAATAGCAACAACAAGAGACAGCGCGACTCGACTTGGTTAGGTGGGTTTTTGCTTTTCTCTTCTGCTCATTGCCGTTGTACTCTCATTCAACTGTATGCAAGTGTATGTTTGTGTGTATGTGTATGTGTTGTCCGTCTGTTTGGTTTTCTTTTGCTTATCTCTCTCACACTCTCAATCATAATGTTGAGAGTAAAAGGCAAGTGATGTATTGTCATAAATACATATGTACATTTTGATAAACATATATACATATATGTATATATTATTATTTTATAATTTATTGTTTTAATTTTGAGAGGGTGGCAAGTGTGTTTAACATTCGATGGTATGAAGAGCCGACCCTCGCTAAACATACACACATACACACACACTCACACAGTCGTACATGCGATGTAAAAATAAGGTGTTTTACATGATTGCATTAATACAAACACACATAAATGTACATATGTATTTGCATATGTGTGCCCAAATGAAAATATTTAGCATTTTGTTGTCAAGTTTTAGGATTTCTGTAATAGCCGAAGTGCCAAATGTGTGTGTGCTTATTTGTTGCGTATAAATATACATATATACCTACGTACATAAAAACATATATACATATAGCTTAACTGCCTGCTTAACTTCATAGTATTTAAATTTATATAACATGTGCATTTATTTACTATTTGGCATTAAAAACACGCTTTTTATATATATTTATATGTATATTCAAATCTACGCCCAAAAAAACAAGTTTCACATATGTATTTATTACTAACATATAACAAAACAATACAACTATTTTCGGATTAACCGAAGATGGATTACCCTTGCAGCTTTATAGGATATGCATCAAATTATCAATAATCAAAATCAATTCATAAAAAAGAATACTGTCTGATTAATTTTTATCTTAGAGATGTTTTCCATTGAAAAACTCAACAGTTTTCATATCCATTTATATTTATAAAGTATCACTTGAAAGATATTCCAGATTATTTAATTAAATAGCAATGTCTCCTGCAAGGGTATTATGATAAACCTGTCCTAAAACGTAAATTAGTTTAAACAAAATATGAATGTAATTGCAAATATTTCTTTTACTTTTGTTTTTTCTTTGTTTTTAGCATACATACAAAATATTTTATTGCTGGTTTTGGTGGTAAATTTGCATTTGTTAATGGCCGTGGCCAGACGTGCCAGCTTCTTAACACACACAAAAAATATATAATTAAAAAATAAAATAAGTAACAGAAACAAAACAATGAAATGTTTTTGATCGATAATAGACATGTATAATCAAATATCGAAACTAAAACTGAAATGTATGTTAAGTATATTTACATATACCACATAAGACTGCCGCGCCTCTATCTGTATCTGTATCTCACTGACAACTATTGCAACAGCAACTGCAATTCGCACACACCAACCTCAACTTCAAGCTCAAGTACAAAAAAGAATATATATACATATATGTGCATATACATTTGCATATATATATACATATATAGTACATATAGAGCTCCATCTAATGCTCGTTCGCCTCCATAAATGCCAACTTATATATTCATATATATTTGATATCTATATTAAATATATATATTTATGTATTGTATTATTCCTCGTACCGCCTACTACTACCAACAACAACAACCACCATCAACAACAACAACCAACCAACAACATTCTACTGCAACTTGGCAACAGACTCGGCTTTAGTTTGTAAGCTTGTTTTTTTTCTTGTAAATTTGTTAAACGTATTTGTACTATTTATAATGTGTACTATTTATTGTAAGGCATGCGAAATGAAAGATTAAAAACAAATATCTAATTGGCTATCTACATATTCTGAATATATATTATTAACCAGTTTCTCCTTCTCTTTCATTTCGCCTGCCTTAGATCTCATTTGTAATTTTTGTACTTGTCCTACGTTCTTTGGTTCCAATATTGCTCTAACCCCATTTATACCACTCAAACAACAGCTACACATACATTGTTTATATTATGCACACACATACACACAGATACGTACATGCATATATGTATATAAATATTACAGTACAGCTTTGATAGATTGTTACATCCGTTTACCAAATCCTATTTGTTGACGATATGGGCACTGTTATATATACATAAATATATTTTATTTACTTAGGTTATCAGCATAGAAAAGCGAACATTGATAGCTTATATAACGTGTCAAGTGTTGTTATTGATTGTGTACGATAACTGAAATATTGATGAAACTTTAAAGGTTTTTTTTTATTTTTTCAAATTTAAAAGAAACTTTAAATCAAGGTTATATCCGATCTATAGGTAACATATGTATGATTAGCTCAAGAAGTCGTGTAAATCATAGCTAGTTTGGACAGTAATACCCAAATATGAAAAAGAATTTCCATAAATTAGTACGCTTTCCCTTCATATTAAAGAATTATGATTTCAAATGCCCATTCATCCTTAGATCAAGATATAGATAAACATTATATAGAACAAAAAAATAATTTCAAAAGAGCAATTACTGGATACAAGAATAAGATCGTACGGAATGTAAACCTTTAAGTTTAATTAATTTTCTATTAACATTGTTCTTTAATATTCCATAATTAATACTCAAAGATTTTTTTTTTTTTTTTTTTAAATCGTGCGACAATGTGATAGCTGAAAAGCCATTGTAATAGCTTTAAAGATAAGTTAATATATTATCAAAATTATGCTGTGTTTCTAATACATATGTATATATATACTAAATACTATATATACTCTATACAAATACATATATTAAGATAATTGTTTTACCCTCGTAAGTCTCCAGTTTAAATAGAGTACTAACTAGTTCTGTAATCGACAGAAAAAAAGAAGAAAATGAGAATATTTACTAATATGTTTTGTTTCCTTTTGTTATGTTATCATACATACTTTCACACACATACTCCCATACCCAAGCATTATATATAATATAACTATTAGCTATGTATGACAAAAGTTTTTTCCTCATATTATTAAACGCATAAATCAGGCATATTGTGTACTCTATATAGTTACCCAAAAGACTAACCAAGCACGTATTATCCACTCATTTATTTAATTATTAATATTGACAAAATCTTATTAAAGCTACACTGTTAAAAATCAAACTCAAATTGTTGCTGTTTTATTTATGAACAAGAAAAAAATATCTCTACATATAGATATTCTTCTATATACATACATGCATATATACGCTATCTTCTTTACATATTCACATATTCACACATATACACACACATTTTTAATGCTGTTTTCCTCAGTAAGTACTAGTATTTATCCCTCTATCCATAAATGTTTTGTGCTTTCTTATGTATTGTTTTTGGTTTTGATTCCTATTCTTATTATAATCAATCATTTTGTTGAGCATGTTGGCTTGTTGGTTGTTATTGCTTTGTGTACTGGAACGCGGGCGCGGCTTTATCATAGTTCAACTTTATTTTTGAAAAAAGCAAACGTTTTCCTTCCAGCTTTAAATGAGACAAACAAAAGTTTGAGCAATCAAGAATACAAAATAAACAAACAAACAACAACAAGAACACCAACTGCAGTTAAGTACCAAGCAGCAGCCGCAACATGCTGAACTCCAATGCGAATCATTCGGGCAACAGCCGGCGGCCGTTTTCCCGCAATTCCTCCTCGGCCCGTTCACATCGTGGCCGTATGCTGTACTCCCCGCATCCGCATGGTCAGCAGCAGCAGCAGCAGCAACAACAACAACAACAGCAGTCGCAGAGAAACAACAACAATAACAACAATGGCCTTGTGCCGGGTCATAGTCCCTGGTGCAATGTAAATCTGAATCGCCACAATAATGATAGCAACAACAACAACAGCAACAACAATGCCAACAATAACAAAGATGCAATCGATGGCAGAAATTCGAATTGGTAAGAGCTACGCAGCTTATGGTATATTACAAATACCAAATAATATTTGCAAATTACGTTAGCTTTAAGTGACATAAAAGCGAATTTGAAGTACCCCCTTATCCAAATGCCCTCTATCCTGCCGTTATCCCACACCGTACTATAATTGCCTTCGACCTGCCATAAAAATAATAATAATAACAACATCCCTGTTACTCGTTCCCCACGCTCCCCACGACAACTATAGAACAGTTTTCTCTACTCTTCTATCTATATCTGTCTGTCTCTCTCTCTATAAATATATATCTAACTACTTATACGTAACTACACCACAGTTATAAAAATCGCTTTTAGGTTAAAGGGAGAATTTTGTAATTAATTGCGTGTTGTCCATAAAAAAAAGAGTAAAGAGTAAATCAATATTCATATAAAGCGCAGCCAAAAACATTTCTTTGGCCTCTTTTACCGTTGAATTTTCGAAGCACTTAAAAAAAAAAAAAACGAAAAAAAACTTGCATCAACAACAAAACAGCTGCAGACTTGGGAATTGCAAGAGAGTGGGAGTTAACGCAGCTAGCCTTTTCAACACACTGCCGCGCGCTCTCTCTCTCTCTCTCACTCGCTCTCGCTTTGACAGTGTTGCACAGTGGTTTGCAGTTGCAGCTGTTTTGTTGTTCTCTCTACTTTTTTTCAAATTCGTGTTCATTTGTTATTTTTGTTATTTTTCGTACTATACATTTTCTTTGTTTTGTTGTTTTTTTTTTGTTTTGTTTT